CTTCAATGGCCTTTTTCTGTGAGGGATCAACTATTGCTCCCATGTCAATCACTTTATCTAGGCAGTGTCCAAGTCGAAGATGTGTCATGCGTTCTTTGATCTTATCTACCAACTGCTTGGCACAGGTCTCTTGGACAATCAAGCGGGAACCAGCGCTGCAAACCTACAGGCCAACACATCATTATAATTATTATGATTGTCTCAGATGAAAATTTACACAATAAACAACCACAAATCACATGATTGGGATTCATACAAATAAAAAATTCTTTCAAGGAGTGCATTACACCATCAACTAGGAATGAAGAATAAAACAAGAGGTCCATAATTCAGAAACAAATCTCTCAACACTGAATCAAAGCATTACACCATAATAGTGCCACCATAAGATAAAAAAATATAAAAGAATAATAAAAAAATGGGCGTTATTTATAGTTTAAATGTACATAATTTTAAAATTGATGTTTTAGCTAAGGGCTGGATAAAAGTTTGGGTGGGAGTGTATTGAAAGGTCCTCAAACCCTCTTTCTGTGTGAGGAAAAAAAATCTGTTCATTTCGCTGCTCACTTTAATTTAAGGCTATTAACTGTAAAATTTGTGGCATGTCAACCTCAGCATAGAGACATAGAGACAGAAAGAGACAGAAAGTTCAGAATTACAGGAGACTGAGTAATGTGAAAGTTTCCACCCTAATCAAAGCTTTAAATCCTGCAAGACACCGTGTTCAAGAGGGAAAGTAGTAAAATTTTATACCTTGTTTGAGACTTACAACTCAAAATACCATATACATGTTTGATGACCATACCCAGTTAGGCAAAATAAAGGAGTACCTCTCATGGCTATTTTCACTATCAAATTCACAATACAATTTGTGTTTGAATTTTAGGCCTTTTTGTTTGAATTTGCACTCAAAATGAATTGCAAGTATTACAAAAAATACTGTAGCTATTTTCTTTGCCTAATCACAGAAAATAAAACAAAAAAAGATTCCTAACCTGGCCTTGGTTAAACCAAATGGCATCTACAATACCCTCAACTGTGCTGTCCAAATCAGCCGAGTCAAACACAACCACAGGGGATTTACCACCAAGCTCTAATGACAGTTTCTTACCAGATCCTGCTGTTAGTCTTCGAAGAACTTTGCCAACCTTCAAATATGAATAAATGGACTATGACTCAAAATTTTCAAACTACTTTAATCCTAATTCATCTCTAAGTTTGTTTTTAATTCAAATTGCATTGTAACATTCATGATCTTCTACAAACAAAAATGAAAATTTAACTGATATTATAATTTTTTAAGCCAAAGAAAAGGTAAAGTTTATCTCCAGTACATGGTCACGCACACAGACAATCTAGTAAGTTATATAAACATGTAACTCACACTTTTTAGAATTACATGATTTATCTCTGTGAGAGTCATTCAACAAAAGAAAATCTCAATAGAATACCTCTGTAGAACCAGTAAAAGCCACCTTGTCAACATCCAGGTGTGCAGCAAGTAAACTTCCAAATGCACCATTTCCAGTAACAACATTAAATACACCAGGAGGAAGCCCTGCCTCAGCACAAATCTCAGCGAACAGAAGAGCTGATAGCCTGGTGTAAGTTGCTGGTTTGAGCACTACGGTGTTACCCATGGCAAGGGCTGGGCAAACTTTCCAACAGAGTAGCATAAGAGGGAAATTCCAAGGTACTATGGCAGCAACCACACCTACAGGTTTCCAATCTAGAGAGGATTTAAAATCACAATGACTGACTACTGCAAATGAGGTTAATTAAATCAAAGAGAAAATGACCCCAACTAAATATAAATCCAATTGTGCCAATCAGTATTCAGTACAGAAGCCTGCTAAAGTAAAAAAAAAAATAAAAATAAACAGAATTCAAAGCTCATTTCCTGTGATCTGATTGGTCAGTTTTAGGCAAGTTATCCTAAGAACACATAATCAGACAGAACAAAAATTTTAAACCATTATCCTGGTGAAAACTTGCTCAGATTTAAATTTAATTCTCTAATAAGGGAATTATCTAACACCTAAAGCACAGCTAGTGTATTTGCATGCGAAACACTTAAGTGGTAAGGGACGTACAGGTGCAATTTGGTTTTAAGTGAATTTTCAAATTGACATCAACCTTAAGAACCATAGCTGAATACATAAGATAAGAGCATATCTTTTTTGGTAGCTGAGAGGTTCAATACAGTCTCTTTATATCTCTCTCTTTACCTAGGCCAGACTTAAGACATAGGACTACTACTATAGAAAGAGTATCTGATACAAATCTTTCTTGAGAAACTATTCTGATGACGGACTAGCAACTCAGTTATCATTATTGACAGTTATACATACTTCTTGTTACTTGTAACTATTTCCTGTATGACTAAGACTAACATAAGACTCCCACCAAAAAAGAACTTCTTTTCCACTTACAAATTGAAATAAGCAAATTCTAAAACAAAAGGTTTACTCTTGTCATAAACTGTTTACCTCTCATTTCTGAATCCATCAGTTGAGCCCAGCCAGCATGATGATAAAGGTGTCTTGCAACAATCTGTACATCAGCATCTCGTGTCTCCCTGATTGGTTTACCATTGTCCATACTTTCAAGTACAGCCAGCAAGCGAGCATGCTTTTGAACATGACGTGCTATACTGTACAAATAACGAGCTCGTACATGACCAGGAAGCTTACTCCAGGATTTAAAAGCCTCTCTTGCTGCTCCTACTGCTTGGTCTATGTCCTCTTGTTCTCCTTGCATTGTGGAGGCCAGTTTCTCTCCTACAAAGTTTACACTTTTTTTCTTATCAAACAAAGAAAATCATACAGGCTTGAGGATGTGACCAATCTAATACATAGATTGTTATTGACATGCTCTTCTGTTTTAAGTAGTGAATTTAATGGAAGACAAAACATTCAAAAAAGGTAGATAATCTTAAAAAGGTTGATTGTGGAATTGCTGTTGCTACAGTCAAGAAAATCTGTCCATGTCAACAGAGAAATTAAGCCAATGAATGTTGACATTGTCTTAGGACTTGCTGATCTTTGACTTCATGATCAACGAAGAAAGGAACTTCTGTGTGATCAAAAATGTGCTTATTCAGATAAAATCTGATTGTCTTTTGTAGTTGAAGTATGACGAAGGATAGAGTCATCATATCAACCAAGGGGAAGCAAACGACTTAATCTGGCATTCTTATTTATTTGTTTTCCTGACTGTTGATTCTTGCACTGCTACATATTCCCTCTCCCCTGAAAAAAACCATCTGATTAGAGTATACTCCCTGGTACTTTATCTCGCACAGCACAGCTTGAAGCCGGGGAGGGGGGGAAGGAGTGGGGCATCTCCGAACCCTGAGAGAGATGCAAGAAACAAGAGCACTGCAAGGTTCTAGAATAAATCTACAATATAATTCTGCATAAGTCATAAACGAGATCAGCTGATGCACACGTAGCACTCCTTCAAAGTCCGCGATCCAGCACAGTGCAGCTTGGGGGGTTCATTAATAAATACTATGATCACATGAGGATCACTCCAGATAGCTCACAGTGGCCTTAACAAAACGATTCATCGCTCACCTGTGGAGGGATTTCTTGTCTCGTAAACTTTCCTCCCCTCGGGTTTCACCCATTTCCCGTTTACGAAATGTCCGAAGTCCCTTCCATGTTCTTCAAGCCACGAGTCCACGCTACTAGCTGCCTCAGGTGCTGGGCCGTACTCTAAACTCTCAAAGATCTGCGCTATAGTGGGATCTTTGTTTAGTTTTGCTGGACCAGTGGATTTTCCATCACTAGAAGCAATAGTTTCGGTGCGAACAGAGGCCATGTTATGTTCCTGGGCCAAACAAGAAAGTCGGATGCTCGTGGCGAAATGAACAAATAATTAATTTTGTTGTAGGTCTGGGAACGAAACATCAGATCGAGGATCTGTGGGAAGGGAGTGGGTGGGGTCGTCGCGATAGGCGCTAGGCGATGGCTTATTTTCTTACTTTTCTTCTTTTCTTTCTTTTTTTTTTTTATGGTTATTTCTTGAAAATGCCAATCAAAGTGCAATTCATGATGAAACCAAACCACCCGTGCATAATCTCTTTCGTGGATTTATTCATAACTATGCGTTGATGGACAACCGACACTTTCACTTAATCCTACTTTAACTGGGGTTTAAACTTGGTAACACGCGCCTCTAAGCTGAGAGGACTCACAGTTTATGTTATTTTAGGGTGACTATTGTCCATGATATTTCCTTTACTACTACGAAATTTTCTTTCGTGTGCTAAATTGTTCTTTATGCATAAACCATTTACTTCGAGTCAGATCGTTTGTAAGTGATTATAACTGCATTACATAACTTGTCAGGAGTCCATTGACGATTAATTTTTTTCTTTTTAATTCACAGCACGAACTTAAACACACATAAAGACAATTGATAAATTTTAAATTTACAGTCGCCTGAGATGCCAAGTGAAGGGGTCTCTAACAGGAGTTAATGGCACCACTATAGTCATGAATGAAACACTTCATTTCTAGCCATTGGGGCTGAAAAACTAATGAACAGTGCCGTTTTTAAGTCTTTATTCACCAATTAATTTAATAGTTTTTTTTTAAATTCCCTTGTTCTACAATTCATCTATTTCAAATATTGATCCCAAGGATTTCTATGAGCCTTGATGGGCCACTGCAGCTACATGTTCAGATCTGTCATCTGCAACTAGTACTTGACAACCTGTTAGGGAAAATCAAAATGATATATGTATTTTCAATTATAGTACTATATCAGACAAGAAAATTAGAAATGTCTCCATCGTTTCGTATTTTCAATAGTATTACCATAGTGCAATTAAAATTGAATTTCTCTGAGCAAGCTTCTTTTAGTTTATCCTCCAAACAACCAATGATCACGGTCACTTCTTCAGAAAATCTGATTTTTTTTTTGTTTTAGTTAGATAATATAAGCAACACGAACTTTTAAATTAGATTAGCAGACATAAGATACCTTAACGATTACTGGGATGGGTAAACGTTTGCCATAAGGTCTTCTGCAGTTAATTGTCGAGGAGCTGGCGGTTCGTACAAAGTCACCACATAGGTTTCAACGATGCCATCGTTCTTGTTCACTAAAGCATAACCACATCCGATCCTCAAGTACGATTTCCAAACGAGCTAAAAAACAATGGAATTGAAAGGTCCATTCTAATTCTTGAAGCATATTCACATCTTTAATTACTAGCAGATAAATATACAAGAGGTGTTTGAATACGGATTACGAGGAACTATCTCGGAAAAATCAAGAAAAAAAAGGAGGGAAAGGTCAACGTATACCACTTACCCTGATGAAGTTACTGTTTTCGAAGTTTGATTGTGGATTTTTATAGTTGTAATAGAGACCACCGTCTAACCTTCAAGGAAATTATCAGCGAGATAAAAGTGAGAGAAAAAATATTTCGTAACGTACATGGCAATAACGAGGAAAACAGCAAAGGTGGGGTCTAAGTAAGGGTTTATTAACAATGTTGTTATGTATGGACCTCTGGATTATACCGGACGGAATTTGTTTTAAGCTAAAACTCATTTGGCAAACCTGAACCTTTGGTGCTCAAGTTCCTAAGTTACCCTCCTTACCAGTGCTCTAAACCATCACTTATAGTCATGGGAAGTGATGAGTTTTCATGATACAAGTTCTCATCCACATTTCCTTGAATTCGCAGTTCGGCGTCAGTTTTTGCCATGAAAGTCGCCAAACTTTGAGCTCTTTTCCCGAGCTTAGTACTGTACTTCACATCCGGGACATGATATCGCCTTCGGTAAAGGTTGTGCTCTTCTAAACAGTCCGAAGCAATACTGGCGAGAACTGCTACCAAAAAACAAGAACATAACTGTGAGAGGAAGGAGAGCGGCAATAGGGATATGGTCCCACCCTTTGTCATGAAAAGTAATACGTTGTAACTAATAAAGTGATTCTTTAGTAACTAAGAGGCTAATACAGGATCCCTATGCAGGAAACTAATCCTTTTCTAAACTTTTTGAAAATTTTATGATAGTTTTTAAATTTTCCATCAGTTATTTCTCATAAAAAAGGCAATCATGTTTGGGAAAAAGTTCGCAAAGTTATGAAAATAATAAAAAAAACAACTTGAAATTTGTGATCGAAAGTATATTGCTCTCGGTTCAGTGGATCATCTGATCCTCGAAATATAATTACATTTCAACCTTTTTTTAGATAAGAAAGACAAGAAAAGTTTATGAATGGACAACTGGAAATGTTTTTCAGGAAAGATTTTTCTTTTTTAGGATATCATCCCCTTGGGTATGCAACCAGCCGACTCAAATCGAAATAAATTATTTCAAGTAATTTTTCTTCCCTCTCGAGAATTGTACGAAAGTAGCGATGTGACAATATGAACTTTTCAGTTGCAAAAATCATCAGTGAAGCAAATAGAAATAGTATTAATTACACATTTCAATATGTCTCACCATCTTGAAAAGCCAGGGAAACACAGAAAATCCAACAGTATCTTTTGAAAATCATTTTCTTGATCTCTGTGCTGGTCGTATTTAGTTAATTAACAAAATGACACGACCAGCAAGCACGTAAAACGTTCACCCCTCGTCTTGCCAATAAGTAATTTCTCCATTTGCTATCCATGCATTGTTAGGCATAGGGGTAATGAGAATAAAGAAAAAAATCAGGTAGCAAGTATTTGCCGATCTGACACCAAATTCTCAGAACTGATATTGTTTAAACTACGTAGCAGAGAGTAAAGAGATTTCATATAGAGATCTTAGAACTTAAGTAAAATTAATGAATTGTTACCTAGTAACAATATGTATTGCTCGGAGTACTCTGTACCATTATGTGATATTTTAGTATAATTACAATGATCCCTCTAACGTTGTCTGCTTTGTTCGCACCTATTAAAAAACCAAAGAAATTGAAAACAATACAGAGAAAAACAAAACAAACCATGACACGAACCATGCAATCTAAATCCTGACAGCTAAAATGTGCTTAATAGGGAAAGATTTAAAAATATGGCTGATGAAATTTTATAATCATACTCATTGGTAGTATTCTAAAACGTCTTTCGGTTTTGGGGAATTTTAACTGTGATAGATACAAGACAAATTTAATTGAAATACCAATCCTTCTCCTAAGTTTCTTCGTAACCAAACTTCAAAAGCCCTATTAGCTTGGAACTCGCAAAAATTACCTTCCTAGTATCTCAATGGGTTGTTATTTTCTCGAAGCATTCTAAGGAATATTTGATTATTTATACTGCAACTCGTACTTTTCCCGTTTATTAGAAGTTATTTCCAAGGGAATCTTCACGGGATTGCCACCTTTTGCAAATGTTAAGTGAAATTTTACAGTGTGATAATTTAAATCAGAATACATTATCAGAATTGTTTCAAGATAATTTCAATTTCTTAGTGATCTGTATTGAAGTAATTGTCTTTTAAACACTTCACGTTTGATTAGTCTCTCTTCTGTTAACATTATCTTTTGTTCGTCATGTTACGCTCAAACTCTATGCAAAAGGAGTAAGCAATTGTAGATTCAACGTCGCCCGCTAAGTATGAGGATTCTTCTTTGTTATTTCGTTGGCTGCCTGGTCCTACAAAATGGTACGTTATTTCAAATCATATTCGGAGCATAATATAAACTGCCTTATTGAAAGATTCTCACATTACAATATCATACAAACCAAGAAGGAACAACTTAGACTTCCAAGTTAATAAGCCGTTATCGCCTTCTTTTTTAAAAGGAGACTGACCTCTATAAATTAAAGTTCAAACTGGAGACTTGTTTCCATCCCCTTCCATGGAATTAATGATTTATTTATATGTATATCCTTGCTACATGAATAGCTTATTTTTCCCCTTTTTCTTCCCGTTATCATCCAAAAATATCAAAGATTCAATTAGACCAAACTCTGAGGTTACCTTTGATAGAGCTTTTAAAAAGCATTTGACCTCCAAGGCAGAGGAAACATTGACGACAAAAATCAAGAATGATTATGCTCACTTTCAAAGACCATTTCAGAATAACCAGAGTTAAACTTGTCAAAAAATTGCAAATGTCTTTTTAACAACAGATTCGAAATATTCGAAAAACTAAAAAAACAAATTCTGTAACGGAGCGGAAGGGGCTGAATGGGAGGTAATCGTTTTTGAGACTCTCAATACGTTCCAATAATCCTCAGCGGATGGAAGTATTGAATCAGACTGCATTCGGAAGCACAACTTGTACAGAAACAAGCATGGAACTCCAGCTTTGAAATACAGTGAAAGTATCGCAGAAGAGGCTCAAAAGCTCGCAGTGACACTGGCGAAGCAAACGACTAAGAAAGTTACTAAGGGGATATATGACGTCAATTATTTCATTGGAGACTCGTCCGTTCCGCGGACAATAAGTGACGCAGTGGAAAATTGGTCAGTGAGTTCATATATACCTTTTACTAACAGAGTTCGAGGTCCGTACTAGAAGTTACAGATCGAGTTTTTCCACTCAGATTCATGGCCCAAGTGCAAGGAGCGCGGGTCATAAATCCGAGCGATAAAAAACGAGGTTCCGTAAATTTCAGCAGGGACCGAGAAAACGGGATTAGTAAGATATTTATTATATCTCTGGAATCAACTAAAGGGGGAAGATTTCAACGAAAGCAAACTTTCCAAACACACTGCCCGTTAAATTGATCAATCATAGCGCACGCACAAAGGGATATAATAATTTTAGCCACGCGAAGGCCATCCGACTACTAGCGAAGATAAAACGAAAACTGGCGAGCGTCTTTGCAAAAGCAGCCGTTTTGTCATGTAAATTGTTTGACTGAGAAAAAAGTAGAAGTATTTTAGAAAATAGACTCCCGTGGCCAGATGGAGGATAATGCAACATTAGCTGTTATTAAAATCGGTCTTCCTATGATCATCCATGCCATTATGCGGCAACATTTCCGTACACATTCCAGGTATACTGAAGGAAATTCCTACAATTACAAGCAGCCTGAAATCTCCTCAAGTAACACCCGCTTCTTAGAGGTAAGACGACACATCCTTCACTCTTCAATACTCTTTCACGTGACGCTATGCCATCCTTAAAACTAAGGTAGCCAGGCGTATCACACAGGTAACTGCACGCATAAAATCAATGTAGGTGTAACAGGAAAAATTCAAACCGAAGGATAATTGTACAAATAGTACCCGAGTGTTTTTCTTACCTTGAGACTTCGCTGCTAATCTAAACATGGACAGCCGATAATTCTTTCGTCCAGTTTTTTTTTTTTTTCCAAAATATAAAGAAAGAAGTGAAATTAAGGCTGAATTATTTTTCTAGCTGATGTGGAAGTCCCACGAGAAAATGGGTTGCGGAATGGCCGTGGCTATAAATGGCGCGAATATCCGCACAGTGGTGGTGGCAATATATGAACCTGCCGGCATGCGAGTTGACATAAATGACTACATTGAGAACATTCTACCGGCAAAAGACTAACGTAAGTTTTGTAAACATAAAAACATCCAAAGACCTTCCAACAAGCTACGGTGTATCACAACAACTAAAAGTTGTCACCTTTTCTTACATAATTTGCCCTGCACCCTTCTAATAAACACCATTTTGGATCGGATGTCCCAGTATAAGACAGCCCGCTTTCCAAACCAAACATCCTTAGGAAAACCTTCAACGAAAGTCCACGACATCCTCTAGAAGAGGTGCACCTTTGCAAAATTTTGCTTTTTTATACAGGAAGCTAAAAATTCTGGGGAAACTTTTTCGCCCAAATGTTTGCAGGACCTGTCTATACTTTTTAGCCTTCTGTTTGACGTTTGCATTGTAAGCCTCGCCTACATCTCCCTTTGTGTGACTGTAAAGCATTTTCAACTAATTAATCAATTTATCAATTAGTTTTCAATTACTTTGTTCTCCTTCAACACAGCAGCAAATGGACGCAGAGGTTTGGAGACTACTGTTGACACTGAGAAAATCATACATTAAAAAACGGATATACTAACAGTGGAAAATTAAGGGTATATACGTAACAGAAAAAAGTTATTTGAAACTCAGAGGAAAAGAGTCTCCTTTTTTCCGGTGCATTTACAAGTTTATTGTATTGGGTTTTATCATTATTTACAATAAATAGATTGGTTTCTGCATTTAAATGTAGTAGAACACATTTTAGTATTAATTATATTATGACTGTCTTCACACCAACAAAACTTTCGAATTAAAAGAGAATGGTTTCACAGGACTTCGAACACAATGTAATAAAACGCTCATGGTGGTGTATGAAAGGTTTTCAGCCTGATAACTTTTCAACAGGCCATCCATCTGAATCTCCGAGAAACAGCAAACTAAAAATAAAATTGAAGAAATTTGGATGATAGCGGCACGCTCGCTCACAGTCTGGGCAGTAATTTACCTCCAAAACTTGAGGCACTATTTCGTTTGAGCCTAAAAACAAGAAGGAAAAAAAGAAGAAAAAAAAAGCTCTAAAATAGCATTTCACACAAAGAATTAAGACTTTCTTAGGAAGACTTTACCAATTTGAAATTAGAGACAGATTCTGATTTTTAACTTGCGTTTCCAAACTGGTTCAATTCGGCCCCTTCTAGGAGCATTAACTTTATAAGCAAAGAACAAATGTACTAGGAAAAGGAGGACGCAAATGGCCAAGTAGGTCCCTCCTATCAGTCAGCTTTGACAAGAAAGTGTTACTGAACCTTCTGTTCAATTAACTTTGTTTGCAAAATTTGTTAGTTGATCTAAAAATTATCAGTTACGAACTTACCATTGTCCGCCCATTTGAGCATCAAATCAACAGCATAAAATGCACGAGACTGTAAAATAAACGACACAGTTCTTCCAGTTTAAAACTGTTCAAGTAATCCATTGATTAATTAATTATTGGAATCATTAAATAAAGATCCCTGATGGCAGTTCTTCAATATTCAAGCACGTTCGAGTCTTTTACCATTTCCACAATGTTTCCGCAACTTTTTTTTTTTTCCTAAGACCAGATTTACCATTTCCATAATGTTTCCGTTGAGGTACACATACACCTTGAATCGTTCACAAGTTAGAATCATTCATGTGAGCTCGTTCACCCAACAAAAGCACAGCCAAATTCTAGATTAACAAACTAAGTTGTGACAGAAATCCTGACTATCTGTCAGAAAAGAAACACTCAGCTAATGGAGCAACTAATCAGGGCATTGTGTGACGCAATCTGCTCCGGTCATAGTTGAAATCAGTCCTGAGCTAAGGAATAAACGTTGTATACTGTTCAACTTTCCTGCATAAGATAGAGGTGCGGATAATATATAATTATGGAAAAAGTTATTGAAACCCCTGGATATATGCATAAACGTGTGAGAAGAAATATCCTTGTTAAAACACAAACCTGTGAACAGTGTATCAACTTCTTGGGTGGCGAGTCGCAGATGGCCGCCTCGAACATCTCACGAAACATTTTGAAAATTTTTGACTGTAAATAACAAAAAAGGCAAAAAATGTCAAGTATATGTCAAATATATTAAAAGAACGGGATCACCAATTATAATCAACTTCAAATTTGCTTTCACGCCGTTTTACCTTAAATAAAGGCGGGTATATTTCCGTATCAAATAAGTTGTCCCTATGTTCAATGAAGACGGAAAGGGCTTAAACATTTAGCAATCTTTTCATGCTTACCTCGACATCGGCCCATCTGTGATCGGGGTATTGCTTTTCAAACATAGGAATGAACTCGTGGTGATGCACCTGTTTGTAAAAGACAAAGGATACATTCAGCGTATTTTTCGCAAACTGCCAAGTCTTTGGAGTTGCAAGGGTTATCTGTACTCATGGGCTCACCTGCTTTAAATTTTCACTGTCCTGATAATTCATAACTGTGAAATGTTTAGCGTAAACATCAAAACAATCCAAAGAAAATGGCCTGGAAATAAAAGAAATAAACGACGTGAGAGGAGACATCAAAGTTTTTTATTCCGATAGAAACTTACCGCGTACAAACACAAGCGTAAGAATTAATCAAGGTGAGAATAACGAACAGAGTGAGACATGGGAATGTATTTATAATAGAAAAGATTCTACCGTTATCTCTATTAAGAATCCTCTATAACACTGGCCTGTGATCAGATTTTTGCTGCTAGCATTTAAAGAAATGTATGCCAGGCAGCAAGGAGATAAAGTAAAGTATTTAAATCTTGGGAAATGAAGCTGTATGATATTTCTTTAAATACCTTTCGTAAACTCATCTTACTTACTGGTTGGCGAATCGTAACCAGAAAAGTTTATCTGCATAGAGCACAAGGGGCTTTGCTGAGGCGATGAGAACTAAGTAACGTATATCAAACTTGACTTGACCAACATCTTCGCGATGAAACAGAACCGGATTTTCTATGTATTTACAGACAACCTGAAAAACAATGATCTTTCCGAATTATTTTATTTAATGGCAGAAACTGAGTCTCAACAACCAAAGTGGAATTCATCGTGAGTCAAGGAAGGAGTTGATTGACAGCTGAATAATAATAATAATAATAATAATAATAATAATAATAATAATAACAACAATAATAATAATATCAAAGGATCACTTGTTGGCAACGGCAGCGACAACAATTCTTTCACGATTCCATACGCTACATTAACCAAATTAACTAATGTACTCTTAATCCTTTACGCGCTAACATCAGTATGCCTATTCTTCATACTGTTCTCTATTCATTTCCTAGGGTTGTGTCAGCCTTCAGTACAATCTCAGGCTTTAACTGGGTTTCTACGTGTAAAGCCAGCTAATTCATTAGGCCCATAGAACTATCTTTAACTACATGTAGAGCTAGAACGACTTATTGCAAACAAGAGAATATGTAGATATTCTCCTTTTTCTAAATAATCGCCATCAATTTTTTATTCTAAAGATGGGCTAGTTCACTTCATAAACAGCTATTTTATCCATGAAAATATCTATGCACAAACCTTTGGCCCTGTCTCTCTCAGTCTTAGTATGTAGTTTAAATTTCCCGTTACATGGCTATCGAGGGCTCTTGCTAGATTCCACGGTTTACAAATCCAGTGATTATCAAGCCCTCTGAAATAAAAAGTGGCGGAAATAAGCCTAAAGTAAATAAACAGAGCCATTCCATGACGAAACTTATACTGAGGATTTAGTTAACTTCTTCAATTTTATTTTGGCCTAAAATCTGTATCTTCATCTATTAAAAACTCTGAAACTCGCTTCCACTCCCGCTGTAAGCGACGTAAATACTCAGAAGTCGCCTTTGCATAGGATCGAGGTTGTGGCTCACAGTTTTCGCGCCAAACTGAACGCGTCTACACATCCACGCTAGCAATAATAAACTAGCACTCTCACTTGTCACATTGAAGAAGAATTCAAAAAGAAATCGAAAGGCAAGGAAGGTTGATGTTTTAATCAACACGCATACCTCAAAAGATGAAACGAATTAGTCATGGTAAGAATTGAAGTTGACTTATCCTTAAAATAAGTATATCACTTGAAAATACCACAGAAAGGACACATGATAAGTTCTCTCTCATATAAACATGGAGGATTTCATTAGAGTAAAGTAAACCTCCTTTCCTCTTCAGTCTTATTTGTGACTGTGACTAGTGTCTTTTTTGCGTGTTTATGCATGTGTGTTTCCCCTGTTCTTCTACAACTAGTGATATTTCAATACCAAAAAGACTGATTTCGTGTGTAGTTCCGTAACTGGTTACGCAAGTCGATGAGCAAACAAGGATAGCGGTCAAAAGCCAACCATTACATATAATGTTTTCTCAACATAAGGAAGTAAGGTATAACTAAGGAAAATCCTTGAGTGAGTTACTTTTTGATGCTTCCAAACTGTATCCAATCAAAGAACGGCGCTCGCATAGACGAGGAAGTGGTACACAAGTTCGTAACATATTATAGCAAAGTATTAAAACCAAAGCACTATATTTTACCGGTAAAAGAAATAGTAAGTACATGCAACCATACTTTATCAAAATATGTCTTCTATATTTTCCGGCTAATAAAATAATGTGTACGCACCTCTTCTTTCTCTTGATGTAGTGATCAAGAAAGAGAGGAAGTTCCAAATTTAAATTGAATGTAACAGGTAGCCATTCAGGTCCTCTCACAAGCAAGTCATCTTCTTTGCCATCTCCATAGGGGGTTGCATTTTGACACACTGCTGCTAAGAGATCTTTGCATACCAGGCTGTTCTCATTAGGAAATTGGTTTATAAATTTACCATAATCTTGAAGAGATCTAAAACACGAACACCAGTCTTATTTAAGAGAATGTTTTGATGGAGTTGAGATGAATAGTCTTAATACAGAAATATACTTTTTCGTCTTGCCATGAGCATGGGACAGAGAAAAAAAGTTCTAAGTCCCAATGAGGAATCAAACCACAGACCTTCAGATTCTGCGCTTCAATGTTCTCCTACTGAGCCACAGAGACTCTATGGTGAGCAAAGCCCATTACGAAGTTTATATACGACAGGCGTCCTGCATACTGTCACTCAACAGTGAATAGTCTTAATACACTTGGTTAGTAGAAATACATTACTAAGTACCCATGTATCTTAAGTGCAATTGAAAAACCTTTCATCACAAATTAATCCTGTAAATGATGACTAATTTTCATCAAAATTAGCATATCTTTGCTCGCCAGTAATTATTGTTGACTTGAGTATTATTGTTGTTATAAGCTACATATAGTCCAGGATATCAAAGCTTAACAATCATCTGATGTGGGCATTGAAACCAACCTAAAATCTTTAAAATGCTCCCTTATCCATAGAATATCTGCTTCTTCTTTACTGTCTACCAGAACAAATCTTGGATGTGTAAGAAAATCTGTCACTTGTTCAACATCAGTGAAAACACGATATATTTTTTCATTGTCAGGTGTTGTAGTAGTAAGTTCTGTAATTTCAAGGTTAGGATAAACCTCACCCTGCCAGTCCTACAGGAATAAATAAATCAGTTTGTACAGTCACTTAATGGACCAACCAACTAGTCAGTCAATCAATCAGCAGTTAAGTTAACCTAACAGTTACTAATTTAATTCATACATAACTGTAGCAAGAAATCTTCCTATCTGAAATGTCAGTCATGCAGCAGTCAAACCTTCTTCTGCATTGCACTGAGTTCCTCCCCAACAAGTTCTGTTGCTCTTTCAGAAGTCAACTGTTTAATCCAGTTTTCATCTTCCAGCTTATCAGGGAACCAAGACAACAGAGAGCAATCCCGTAGAAGTGGTTCTGTGATGGGTGCTACATAATCACGTGTAACTTCATCTGCAGGAAAAAAGAAGTGTGTGCAATTGCAGTTCAAATAATTTACAATACCCAAAAAGGAGAGGTGGGAGTTGATAACATTTTACAGAAAGCTTAAAGCAGTAATTGATCGTAAAGACCATCTTATGAGTAGCACAGACATTCATTTAATTAATGCCACTGAAGGCAAATAAAGGGTTGATTAAGAGGAGAGCTATGAAGAGCTCTGGTTAAATTGAAGGTTCTTTAAAGATTATTTTAAAATCAAACTAGACCAGACAGTGCAGCTTTATCACCCCCATCAAATTTTTGACACACAAGGACTAATATACTCTTCCACGTTTGGTAATAAGCAGAAAATTTTGGACAGCTCATCTTTGATCCTCCCACAAACATCATGGGCTACATTCCTCAAAGCAGCTGGTTATCAAATCTAATTGCTACCTAGTTTCTACATTCAAACTCAATTGTGGACAAACAGCATTACTCCTGCTCACAAATGTAGGTTACTATAAATATCAACATACCTCCATAATCCATATCTCTCAAAGGCCATAATAATGAGAAGGCCATGCCAATAGGTACATAATGAAGAATACCAATTGCAAAAGAAGGGTCATCTGAATGTTTTATACATGAACCAAACTCATCCATGACAAACCACAAAGGAGTATGTTCATCATCATTATGAGCATCCTTTTGATACATGTGGCTTTCTGAATAAGTCTAGAGAATTAAGAAAAAATTAATACTCAAGATTATCTGCATTACTTGAGAAACTATGAATTAAAATTAATTAAACAAATCAAGAGAATAAGAGGCTACCATGTAGATTATAAGACAGTTTACCACCTTGCAATTTGAAAATCCATTTACTCTGAGTGTTTAACTTGTTAACTACCCCAGAAGTGACAAATAATCAGTCATATGCTTACACTGTATTTAAAGATCATAAAAATTACCATCTTGCCTCTGAGCAATCCTAACTCTAGCAAAAGAAGTTTTGCCAGCAAGACAATTCACATTAACATGCAATATGAAAATATATTGGAAATTTAAAAATTTTAATCAGTGTTAAATCATCAAGCAACTAAACACACATTAAGCATTTTTATAAAATAATTTGTAGCAGCTGCATTAAACAAACTGTCTTTCTTTTAATATAAGGTTTAGAGAAGACATGTACAGTGTGCACCTACTGTGAGGCAAAGACAGTTGATTTTAGTAGTACTTAAACTTAGGACAGAAGCATACATTCACAAATTATAAAAAGACACTTACCATCTTTAAGCGGTAATTCTGGTTAAAACTATATATTAAAGAAATGTAAGGATAATTTAAATTTTAGAACAAAATGCAGGAATGCACCAGTAAGTCCTAAATCAAATTTTGGTTTATCTGACCTGACTTACCCTACAAGCCACAAAAACTTAAACAGAGATTTCATCATAACAAAACAGAAAGAAATCCTTAAATTTTAGTTTTGATATGTGCATAAACAAAAGACATCATGTTAATTACTTGGCATTTCAGTTAAGTGAGGACCCTTACAAGATGCCACATGGAAAACTGAGTTGCTTTTCCAAATACATATTGTTAAAAAGTTCCAAAGTAATTTAAAAGAAAATGCCTGAGTAATAATTTGTCAGTCAGTTTTGCTGAGGGACACAAAAATATGAGGAAAATAATTAATGACCAGAAATTTGGGTACAGAGAGTCACTCTGACAATTAACAAACACTTAAGACTCACTAGGAAACAAAGATAATTTGCAGCCATGAAATTAAGGAGAACTGACCTCCACATCTTTTCCAAGATTGCTTCAATAAGTTGTTCCTGACTTGATTGAGATGATTCTTCATCTTCTAGGGTAAAAAATTATAATTAAAATTGTTGATGTAAGATATTAGGTTTATCACTCCACATAATATCCTACAATGATGAAAAGTAAGTATTTGTGGTATCATACTTGTTACTCCCATTAAAGAACCCATTCTGTCTGCAAGACCAGGGACTGTCTTGAGCTGAGCTCTTGCAAAATTCACTTGGTATGTCCAGGCATGATCAATTAAAAAAACACTGTAAACAGAATAACAGAAGACAGCTTCACTAAATACACCTCATTAAATCATTGAATTCTGCATTGTTTGGTTCAAGAAAATATCTATAGCCACTTCCCCCACCAACCAACAAGATCATCACAGAAAGTCTACTTATATTACCAGAAAAAAAATAATTTCTCAGAAATCATGGAACTAAGCATAGCATTTACTCAATGAAATTCTGCCAGCATTTTTTTTTTTAATTTGGTCTGATAATTCTGGTGTTTGGAGGAGATCAACATTTGACTAGAGGCAACCATTGACACAGTAACATCTTGCATCAATTTTTTCAGGTATAATTTCTTTGTCATTTATCCTACCAGACACACATGAATTAATTTTGTCAAAACTGTATGACTTTCCCTTTTGTCTTGTCAAAACAAACTGTCACTGGGTCTTCTCAAAGGGCAGTCACTAAAACAAGGAATGACCTAAAATGATCTAAAATTACCTTGAGTGATTTCTAAAATGACCTAAAATGACCTTGAGTGATTTCTAAAATGACCTAAAATAACTTAATATGACCTTGAGTGATGTGAACAATGCAGTGTTGACAAAATCTGGATTGGACCTGATTGGATTTCGGTTTGTGGATTTTGTGTGGTTTAGCATTTAATTTTTGGATTTCATCAAACATTCAGATGGGTTTTCCAAATTTTTCTGGTTTGTCTTCGATCTGAGCAGCAATTTAAGCACCTCCACTGATCTTGAACAGCCATGAAATGCAAATGATATTGAGAGGAATGTGTGACAAACCAAATGTCACTGAAATAACTTCTTGTTGGTTGAATATCATAGGGATCTGTAGGAGGTCAAGCGTCTCAAATAGCACCTGAGACTATGACCTTGCAATGTGGAGCACCTAGGTTGATCAGTTTGCAAACTATGGCTTCCATAGTGCCTCACACGCCAACAACAGAAGAAGCTCAAGGACCTTAAGAAGTAACTGTGGATTGTGTTGCATTTTTCTTAACTGACTGATGAAATGATACATATCTCTTGCTTGCCTTCATCCACGGTGGCACTACACAACACTCCACAACACAGCCATGAAAGTGACTTCATGGGGTTTATGGGCAAAAAACAAAATCCCAGAGGGGCCTATGCTCTATTTTGTCACACAGACTTCATTTTGGCATGTCATGCAAAATTTCTGATTTTATTTTACATGATGCGATCCATAATCCATGATCCAACCTGTGATCCAGTCAGTGATCTGATCCATGATCTAGTCTGAGATCCAATCTGTGATCTAATTCGGTCTGATCTGGTCTGATCCAGTCAGATCCAGATTTTATTGGCACCTCAAACTCAAGGTCATTTTAGGTTGTTTCAGTACATTTTAGAAATCACTCAGGGTCATTTTAGGTCATTTTAGAAATCACTCAAGGTCATTTAAGGTCATTTTAGGTCATTCCTTGTTTTAGTAACTACCTTTCTCAAAGGATTAAACCATGTTCATGTGTAAAATTAACACAATTAAGCAGTATTGTGAAACTAGTGTTTAAATGAGCCCACCTTCACACTAGCTTTTGCTGTTTGATGGAAAAAATATGGGATATTTCATATCATTATCTTGTACAACTGTATTCCCTACATAAATGAGCTATATTTAATAGTATATCTCCCTTGATTATTTACCCCTTGCAACCAATTTCACTCTGCACTCATCAGCTTCTGCCTTAGAAACTTGTATGTAAGTCAGTACCCTCAGTGTATCATACTTGATAGAAACAATTTTAAAATTATTTTTTACCAGTTAGGATCTGACACCTTCATTCCACCTTCACTAGTAACAAAAACTTTCAAAATTCCATCTCCATCTTTAGCCATTGTAAAAAATAATCCAGCATCATAAGTCTGCAGTGGAAAATATACAACTCTAAATAGTTAAAAAGGCAAGATTTCTGCTCAGTTCTATACTTCATTATGCACACCCTTCCATAATGTACAACCAATACCAAATCTCTGTTGAATTTTGGCAGATAAATATGAAATCTAGGTTAAGGGTTTGAGACGATAAATAATTTCAGCTTTAATTTCAAAAAACATTTGGGTAAAATTTCCGCTCAGCCCCATACTAAATTATGCATTCAGTTCTTGGATAGAGAAAACAATGACAAAAACAATACATTGCTATTGGGAAAACAGATTTGTTTTACAATAGTATGGAGCTGTGCGGAAATTTTACCAACATTTGAATCCCACAATCATCTTTTCTGCAAACCATTTCAAAACTTATACGTGTCACAATTAAATCGTCACTAACAAGAATTTCATCAGAGTTCAAAATGTCGTGAAGCTACTTATGGGGGATTTACAAACTCGTTCAAGTCTCTCACACTTGCATTGATCGGTTAAAATCTTCAAAACGCCGCAAAAGCTTCAAAAAAGTGCGAAATAAAACAATCAAGAAGGATGCAGTGCAGTGAAATTCTACGGAAAGATCAGGCTGTTTGATTCCACGTGCTAAAAGAGCTCGAGAAAAAATTATTTTCAAAAAATTATTACAGCCTCAGCAAGATTTAATTCAGCTCTGAAAAAATCAACTTACCTCGTTCTTCAGCTTTTTATGAATTGATTTCCAGAAGTGAAGAGGTATACCTGCAAATTCTAACTGACTTTTATGAACTGCCATGAATTGCAGATATTCCTCGTCTTCGTCCGCCATCTTGGTTGCGCAACCGCATGGACTCTTGGGAATGTCACGCAGAAAGATATTTTGTCACGTCCACACTGGAGCAGGTTAGAGGAGGCACGGCACGGCACGGCACGGCAGAGTAGGGATTACAGCCGTACCTATGTTGAATTCTAGCTATTTGAAATAATGGGGGAGGGGGGGAGGGGGGGTCCTTATTCACTAGGGTATGGAAGTGGAGGATCAGCCAAATCGCTATCTTCTGCCTCGGCAGAAGTCTTGCTTATTCATGCAGGCAGACATGTCGGACCAGCTGTTGGTTATGGGATAATAATAGCCCTTTAAATGAGTTCTATACAGAGGGAGGATAATTTTTCAGAGAGCTTTCAGGATCTTTAAATCTGTGCAAAGCTAATCCCTTCTGCAGCTCTCCATCCAAAGTTATACCCAACTGATGCAGTTTTGTGACAGTGGAAAGTCACGAAGAGCGGGGACAATGTTAGGAAATTAGACACGCCTGTAAAATCTATAAAGCAGATCTACGAAAAAACTGTTGCTGTCCGTTTACGGAAGGAAAAAGGGCAAAATGCACTCAGTATTTTCTGATGACGACTGGCAATAGTGGATCAATACAAGTTGTTTGGCCCAGGACACTTTGTTTGAAAAAAACTAGTTTACTTTACCATAGAGCAGGACTAGTTAACACCCCTTACATTAACAAAGTCGAATAAATGGCCTTGCGCGGTTTGGTTAAATGCACGAATGTACATAAAATGCAGGACTGTTCAGTGTCCTAAAATGCGAGGCTGTAAGGTCCTTAAAATTCACGACTGTAAAGTGCCTCTTAAAATGCAGGGGAGTTAATTATTCTTAAAGTACAGCCCTGTCAAGTGTTCTTACAATGCACGTTTGTGTTAGTTAAGATCATGGTGATATTGATAAGCTACACTCCCGAGGCGCACCGTCTTATTCTGGTAGCTCAGGCGACTCAATGATCAGTACGTAAAAGTGGACATAAAAATAACTTACGGTTAGCTTATCGGACAAGTATCTAAATTGAATGAGCACAAAAACAACTCTCTTTAGAAACAAATCATGTTTCCTTATTGATTACCAATTCTCGCATTGTAGGAAATGAACCCTTTTGTACTAATTCATAGTTAGTAGAGGAGACTCTACTAACTATGACTAATAAAGGTAAAGTGGTTTCGCTCAAAAAAGATTTCGTGATGGTTACAGTGCTGAAGAACGTTAAAAATTAATTTTAAGAAAAGAGAAGAGAACCCAAAAGACTAAGGGCTGCTGAATTTAACGCACACAACGGATCTAGAACCAAGTTTGCTCCTAAAACCGCGGCAACAGAGCCTGCCACTCCAAGATCGGGCTGTACAGCAACAGGAGGTAATTCGTTTCAACCTCAGAGTGATTCTTTAGAGCTTATAGTTACTCCATTGTCTTCCGTGACGGACGGAAGCCAACAACCGAATGCAATAAACCGGCTATCATGATTCACTTCTGGACAGAAATAAAATTAACTTGCTCAGAAAAGATTGAAATGCAATTAGTAAACAGTATTGTTTGAATTATGCCAAAATTATCTATTTGCATATGAGAAATACATAATAATCCTCTCTGACTTATCTCTAATTCAATCGTGTTTCAAAACATATTTATCTTTTGTGCCGGTAAGAAAAATTATTGCTCGGACCCCACCCTCCCCTATAATCGTGTTCGCTTAAAGTATCCGATAGCCTAGGAATCTTGACAACCAAAGTTCTTTTGGCAGGCCTTAGACCGGGTTTGTTCTTTTCAGAAGTACAATGTACATCACAAACACCATAATTTCCAAACGGACTCCTCTGATTGCAGTTCCTTGAGTGAACAGGTCTTGGCGTTTTCGCTCGTTTTAGGTACTCCGCTTCTAACTTCGATGCTGAGCGAACAATATCTTCAACTTTCAATGATTTTTGCCTGGTGAAGTTTAGTCTCGGAGTATCTGCGTTTTCTCGTGCTATTTCTTCCAAACGTTGATCTCTGTAATCCATCGAAAGTGGTGGCCTAAAGGCGTCTTCATCTGGCAAACTCAAAACATCGCCGTTCACATTCGGTTGCAAAGCACAGCCACAATACCCGGTTACCTCGTAAGTGCCCATTTCAATAGTTTCAGGTGAAAATTTCGTTTCGCCAAGACGTCGAGGTTTTAATGAACGAGGGCTTGATCTAGGAAGTTTCCCTATTAGCTTGTTTTCGATTTCTGTTTTGAAGTTCGGTAAATCGCCGAGACTTTGGCTAAGTTGTTTCACTCTTTTTCTTTGATCGCACATTTGTCTTTCTTCCGCCTCAAGTGCTGAAGCCTTCTTGCGTGTTTCTTTGGGTTGATACATGGTAGTTATCCGAACAACGGTAGCTCAATAATGAAAGTAACCATGTCTTTTTTTTCTGGTTTGCCCAGGCGTCAGGACAAATATTCACTGCGGTAAACTAATGTAGTCGACTGATTAATAGCAGCTGCCAAAGATTTGAAGTGGAATGACACATCAAATATTATGCAATCCCTTCCTTTTTTCTTTTCCAAGACATAATGATGAAAATTTCACGTTGTTAAGTTCTAATTCATTGTTTTTCTTATCAAAATCTCCCTGTTTTTGACCCCTGCCGACTCTGTGTCTGTGAAATCATCTTTAAGAAATAACAAATCAAAACTATGGGGAAATTTGCATTGGGTAAACCTCAAATGACACTTGTTCTTCAAAGGCGGTAATAATTTGAATCTCTAAAAAGGTGCATGGGGTATGTAAACAAACTTGTCGAAGCTGTGCGCCAATATTAGGAGAGTCTGAAAACAGTGGTTAGACTGAAAAGCGAACAAAGGGTTAAAACAAGTGACGATCTGCATAACAAAGAAAACTTCAGGACTTAATACTCTAAAAGATGTGAAGCGAATTCGTACTAAAAATAAGTGAACCCATGTCGCGTTAATTACGTACAATAATTTCGATCGATGTTCCCTTAAGTAAACACAGCAATTTCCTAATCCAGATGAAGAGATTAAATAATCGAGGGTAAGATAAGAACTGGCGAAACTTTGTAAACGGTGATGAATTGTCTAATATCGATTTTATGGCGTGCTACAAAATTTAGGGATTAACTTAAAATGTAAGATCATAATTAGTGCCTACGTGGTACGTAAACACAATAGAAAATATTTTAGTTCTCAAATAGATTTACTAACGTTATGCACTACATAAGAAATCACCTGAGGAAATACTGTCTCCCTCAGGTTGGAAAGTTGTATTTGACTGGTTTATAGGTAGATTCTATCTGTATGACGAAAAAGATGCCTTCTTATGTCCAATAATCCTTCCTATCCAGATACAACATGTCCTTTAGGCATGACTACGTAGTTTCCCTTAGCAACAATAACTTTCACTGAATAGCGTAGATTACTTACAGTCCCTTTACATTTTTCCGCTGCTACGCAACCGCAGGGAGATGCATGGATAGAAATACATTTTGGGCTTGTAAAACAAATTGTAAAATTTGATAAACACATGTTTGTTTCGAAAGCGGACTCCTTCTACTTCGTCCAAGCTTGCCTGATTTTAAAAAAAGCTTCAAGTTGGTTTGTATCGTCTCGTACTTCTTAAAAAATAAAGCCTCATTCTTTTAAATTCTGTGATTCAGTTCAGTTGTACCCCATGTAAATTTGACCTGTCCTTGATCAGTGTTATCAAGCACTTTCCAGCTTATTCGTATCTCTTAGAATGTTGTCTCCATTAGTTAATAATAACCCCAAGATTTCCCACTAATCGAAGGTAACTTTCAACGACCCAGCACGACTCAAATGTTGTGACGTAGAAGCTCATCATCATCACGTTAGCAAATCCACTTTATCAGAAGCACACTGACTCACATCCGACTCCTCTATTCATTGCAATGTTACAACTAAAACCGAGAAGGATACCATCCATGAGAAGCTCAATACCAAGCCCCTTAAGCTCCTCTTCCCCGCTTTTTTCCCTCCGCTCTTTCGGTCTGTAAAGAACAGAACAAGATTCAAGGGCGGTGGTTATCGAGCCAACTTCCATCACAGCAAGTTCTTAGTTATAGACTGGTTAGTAAGATCAAACTTCCATTGATTATATACTCGTTTAAACAGCTGCTTGGCATGATTCAAACATGAAACATATTTCATAACCAGTTCTTCTGGAATAAGTTTCAAGCAGATTTCAAACAGTACTTACTCTGTGATGATTTAACACACAGCTTTCAATATATGAATGACATATAATGGGTACACGCCCACAAGTTTTGGGTAAGTCCACACGAGGAGGGATTAATTTCCTTACTCCTGGTTCACAGGAAAATTAGTTGAACTAAACAGTGAGACCAAACAGTTGATAATGCGTGATTTTAAGTCTCGTGGTTGTTGTCCAAGCATGGAAGTTTGATGTCGATTTTTTTTGCTTGAACGAAGTTCTTCCTCAAGTCTTGATTTTCTGCATTGACACACAACGAACACTTAATCTCAAGGTTGGATGGGTTTTTTTCAGGAGATTGGAACGTCATCGTAACATTACTACCTGCTGGTTTCAGAGAGGACTTTCCACTTTTCTCTTTATCATTTCCGCCGCAAAATGGGGGTATAGAGCTCACATCAACCATGGAGGCACGCTTTCGCGGCGTTTCTTTCTTAAAGACAGGAGTGTTATTATGCTTCCTATCCTCCAGTGAATTATTCCGAGTGTTTGAAAGACAATTTGAGCTTATACTTCTTCGAAACAGAATGGCTTGGTGCACTGTCATGCCCGGAACAAAATCGCAGTTTTCAGCAGAATCATGTTCAAGTTTCAATGCCTTTTTGAATTTGTAAAGTTGAGCCGGTGGAGACCTACAATGAAACGCTGGGGACGAGTAACCCCATCTCGGACTGTGCGCATTAGTGTCCAAACTCATTTCGTACTTGGGTTTTTCCTTGTTGGTGTTTGAATGCCTTCTCTTCGTAGATTTGTACTCTTTACGATTAGGGGAAGTAACCGGCTTATATCCCCAGCTACTCACTTGTGGCGGAGAGCTACCATCAACTCCAAATACAGCGGGAATAAGAGCCAAGTTTGCGCGACGACTTCGGTTTTCGGCGCCACCAAACCCAGTTTTCCGCTGGGACAATTGAGAGCAAATTGACATTAGATCAATGGCCGGTAAAGAACCAAGTGAGTGGTCGCTTGTCCGTGATCCACTTCTAAATTCCTGTAGGTCGAAGAAGGGCGATGCCTGGGGTATCTGACTTTGGGAAATATCATCAACAGAAGTCGACATAAGGATGGGATGAGAGTGAATCGACCTGTAAACGATTAAAGATGATAACGCTCTTGTTTGTGCAGAAAACGTGAAACCCTATTTTATTTTTACCCCCTATCACGGGAGAAAAAAAACTGAAAGCCTATATATCATACATAAAGTTTCGTTAAAAGTTGTTAAAATAAACAGACGCTTCCTTACTTGTTCATTATATCAGCTGGCCGCTAACATTTCGTCAGACTCAAACTATCAAACAAAAGCAACTGCACGTCGCTAAGGTTGTTACCAGACGCCCGGAGAAAACTTACTAAAAAATTTGCTGCTTAGCTCTTACTCTATTTCAATTTCGTCCTATAATCTCATCAGTAATTGTTGACTGTTAGAACTCTGGCTTGTCCGTGATTATTTCGCTGCCGTTTCTAGGATGTAAAGTTTTTCTAATTTATATTAATAAAGACACTGGTTAATCCTTGTTCATTGTGTAAGGTTCTATAGTATATAAACTATCCCTGTCGTCTCTTTTGTTAAATTTTAATAAAGATACAGACGTATGATTCAAAAACCAAAAAATGATTGGATAATTATCTTATCAAAAGAAGTCGAAGTGGACAGACAATGGTAAAGGCGATTAAATCAAGGATTACTGATAATATTTGCATAGATTGAAACGGGAATATTAAGTAAGCCAGTGTTTATTTGTTTATCCACTTGTTTTTTTCCTGGTCCCAACAAATGCGCGTATAACCTTAAGGCAAACAAAGGGTTGATTCCTCCCTTAATTAGTTTATGAGAATATAAAAAGTAAATAAAGAATATGTAAAGAGAAGTTTGGACCGCACACCATCACCAAACTGAGAAGAAAGTCTTTTTGGTTGCATCCTATTCTTCTCTTTGTTTCCCTAACCATTGATCGCTTAGGGGTTTTTTTCAGCCTCAATCATTTCGCCAGTGTTTTTCACTTCTGAGTGAGTATAGGCTCTCTCGATATGAAGTTTTAGCTCCGTTAAGAATTGCGTCCGTTTTCGTGCATGGGAGCAAACTTTCGTACTAGTTGATATTACTCTAAATTCATTTTTTGCATTTGAATATTTTCATCTTAGATAAAGAGCTGGTACTTGTAGTACTTGTGAATAATTAAGCCCCATTTTTTAATGTAGATGTCACTTGCCTACTTACTCATCCTGCTTCAATAAAAAAGATCATTATGAAGCAACTGACAAAAGGAAAAAAACTGCAAGATTGACCAGGATGAGACAAGACAACTAAGATATCACCGACATGCAGAGAACCGTGCCTCTGACAACGTAGCGTTTGTGTTATATATGGTTATCCGCAGTGTTTCCATTTCATTGAATGTCTGGTACTCCACACTGGCGACAACTAATGACAAACACTTAACGCAGTTAGATTCTGATTGGATTGAGGTTCTTTTGTTGTTTTACACTAAAATGTGATCTCAGAGACGAGTCATTAAGTATTAGTTGCATTCCAGTCGTACAAAAAGTGTTAAGCGGCTGTTAAATAATTAGTCAAACTCTCAAAACATAGTATCAATCAATTACTTTTCGTTCGTGTAAATGAAAACGCGTACAAAACTGTTAACACAACAATGGTTAACCCTAAGAGTTACTTTAATAAATAATTGTGTTCAGATAATTCTTTTGTTAATAAATATTCAACAATTATCAATTTGAACGAATCGCATGAGCGTTCAGCAGAAAAAGAATTTCTTTTGTCAAACAAATTTACTCATTGTTCATTCGTTGCTCCCTACGAGTCTTTCACAAACTCAACGGCGACACAAAAGTAATAACTTAAACTCTCTTCAAACGCATTTGATGTGCAATATCCGTCCACAGTTTGAATGAGTAATTTAGACAATGGAATCAAATACGTCAAAAGAGCAATCGATCGAGCAAGCATTAAGGAGGCTTAAATATTTGCACACTTCGCTGGTGCTTCACGGAGCATTTTCAAAACAACATGGATATAATGTTGGTGAACGCATCATAACGAGTACACGTTTGCAGTCTACCAACAAGGAACGATTTAGGACAACAGAGTGGAGTTCTGAGAAACGGTGCTTTCTTTCTTTACAACCCAATACTTCGAATCCATTCGGAGAAAAGACTAAAAGACGAATTTTAAAGTGTAATCAAGCCCAAAAAGCCTTACGAACTGGTCGTGCGCCATTGCGTGTGTCTCGTTCGTTGTCAGTGACCGAGGAACAGCTTGATTCGACAAACGTAAATGAGATCATCTTGAGAGATGTTGAAGTAAGAGAACGTAGACGTACTTCGAAGTCCGCGTCAAGTGGACCATGTTTTATTGATCCGTACAAATGCCTTAATACTTTTACCTACGGCTTTGACGGTAACACTCGTAACAAGAAAGTAACAAAGGAATACTCTACGAACATGAAGATCAATCGCGTCACTTTCTCTGCTAGACCGAGTGGTCGTAAGGACAAATCAATGCACGAAAATAAAATCGAAGTTCCGAAAAGTTGCTTCTTCAATGGTTGGGGTGTGCGGTCTAAGAAGGTACATTTACCAAAACGAAACACGGGCGACGATTCTGAGAGACATACCACAGTGGGAGCCATAGATATTGCCGCTGGTATAAAGACTCTCAGATTAGATCCTAAACGAGTACAACAAGGATACCACGAGAGAACAATTCCACAACCCCCACCCACACCTGTTCGACAAATTGATATAAGACTACCTCAAGGAAAGATGGTTAAATATCAACTGCCCGAAGACGAATGACTGACCTGCGCAAGTGTTATAACTTCTTACTACACAATGCCTAATATCCCTGCAAAGTTAGATAAGGAAGTCATGAAAAGCTGTTTGTCAAAACAGTTAACAAATTTGTATTTAATCTGTTAGACTGAGGCTATAAACAAGTGTGTCATAATCATAGGTTCAGTATGGATACTTTTAACTCGCTACAAACCATCTCTCAATTAGATCCGGCCGAAAACGAAACTAACGCAGAATGATGCGCAATATTTATCCACAACATTTTCCTTCTTAGTTGATTGCCATCGCACATGTAATATTCTACTTAATAAATTATCTCGTTAAATAACTGCTCGTAGAAGGTTGAGATTGATTTGTTACTTTTATCTTCATTAGGGATAATGTAAATGTAATATACTTTCACTTTGAGAGAGATCTTAGATTAAATTTGATAGAGAGAATAAAAAAAACTTGAAGTTGTTGAAAGATGTTTATCTTATCACAAACAGTTCAACTATTTGTTCTACTGCTCCTGTCTAGTAAGAAATAGAGTGGGAACAATTTTTTGCTGCTTCACGTCAGCAACTTGAAGTTGGAAGATGTATCTTACAGTAGGGTTTTCTGAACGAAGAATTCGCTGTTGGTTGATTCGTTATGATCAGAAGGTGGTTAGAACTCAATAGGACTTTCCTTGCTTTTCGGGAGAGCGTGAATTACACAGTTTGGATCAAATATCTCAGAAAAGGTGTGTAATGCGGGTGTCAATCAAGACCTACGAAGATGTTTCAAGCTGACGGGTAGACCCTAAACTTATTATCCCAGGTCAAAAAACCCTCCCAGTTACAAAAATCTGAATGACAGCAACCAAAAAGTTTAATTTTGCCTGTTTTAGTGTGAAAAAAACACACACTCATATGATGTTATATCTCTAAGGGACGTCATCTGTCAATAAAAAAAAATGCCATTGCCCAAACGGATTTTTTCTTCTTCTTAAAAACAATGTATACTGTTATATACTTTCTGTTCTATGGTTTATTAGAAAAGGGGTCAGCTTCCAATCACTCAAAAAATACTCGTTAAAAAACAGATTTTAAAGGGTGAATTCAAAGTTTAGAACATGATTCAATGTTTTGTCTTTGTACACTTAAAATGGAAAATGTACAACAAGTAACAAAATACTGATATATTTTTTTATTTCACAATAACAAACTGCAACAGAGGAGTAAATTTCCATTCTATTTCAATAATCTTACTGGGCTTTTTGCTTCTGTATGGACATTTGTTCGAGAACAAATCCGTTATAACTCAACTATAATTAATACTATACCTCGTACGCGTAAAAAAATATGTTTTGTTAATTTCTCCTTCAATACGCCACGTAATTAGTACTTGCATGAACAGATGTCATTTTGTTCAAATATCTCACGACAGTAACGATTAATTATTGATATCCTCGATATCTTCTTTGGACCTTACGCTGTGAGTTGAAAGAGGAGAATAAAGATGAATTTCGTGTAAAAATTCACTAAAATGCACGTTTCTTTTATACTTGGGTTGCGTTGCTCCACCGTTATTTCTATCATTCGAGCTTTCTTCATTATTTTGAATTTCTCTGTATCCAGCTCCCTCCGCTGACAGACTTCCGTTTTCAACTTCGTTCCACTTTGCTAAGCGATAGGGAGGAATTTCAATATTCACAAAAGGCACTAACCATAGCTGTCCTTCGTCCATGGTCATTCGCTCGGGAGATGGTGGTGTTATGCCTACAGGAAAATTTGTCGGTAGAGATGCGAGCGACGCAGACTGATTGTGAAGCATAAAGTGGTCTCTAGGCAACTGTCTTATGGTTAAACAACTATCTGCAGAGAACGTGCTCGACTCACCACGCTGATAATTTTGACGAAAACGTTTCTTTTTCCTGTGCGGGTTGATGCTACCAACCTTACGGTCTTTGAGTTTCGGTAAAGATGGCATCTTTGGAAGCGTTGTGTAAAATATCTCCTTATTTTCTGGCGGTATACCTTCTAATTTCGGTAGTCTTAGTTGAGCGCGATCTCCTGAGTGTGACACGGTGTTACTATCGCCAATATCCTCGTAAGAGTCTCTTTTCAGAAGAAGTTGTCTCAAATAATCCTGGTCATTAATATAAAGTTGTTTTGGCAATTCATCATGCTGTAATTTTTGTGAGAATTTCTTGTGACGCGTGCGGGTCTTCGTTAATCCGCCGTGAGACGAATTAATAACCATCTGTTGTCCGCGAGGTTCTAACCTTCCAGTGTTGGTTTGTCCCTCATCTGATCTGTTTGCGTCAGACAATCCCTTCCTATATATTCGAACAGCTTTTTCTTCATAGCGTCTGTGAAGCAGTAGTAGTTCTTGAACCTCTTTGTAACTTCTTTTATCTTTCACCGTGGTTGCAGAAGAACCTGTCAGAGCGAGTGGCATTTTGAATTTCGTTGCTACTTTCTTGCGGGTTCACAAAAGCAACTAAGTGTAACAAACCGATTGAATCGTACAATCAATAAAGTAAATTTCGTTTGACAAGAGCATTAGAAATCTAAGAGGTAAAACAAGCCCAATATCCCTCTGTAAACAGGCAGTTGTTGTGGACACGTTTTAGAAGAAGTAAGTCTCTTAGCTCATCTCTTACAAGTGTCAACTGAAGATGACAGGTTTAGGTTGAATGAATATTTTATGAAATTTTCATCCATGTGACCAATGACCCACAACGTATCCTGTTGCGAATACATCTTAATATATAATAAAAAATAACAGTTGTTTACACTTTTTGTCGGGAAAAGCTGGCCAAGAAACAATACTCCGATGACCTTTGCACTAAAATACTTTCTCTATGTTTTTAACGAAAAGCAATTTGGATAAAAGCTGTTTCAGAATGACCTGATTCTTATAAAAAACGAGTAGCGTGACATTCAGTATTTCATCATTCGGATTTTTAGAATTATTTACATTGCAGTCTTTTCTAAGTCAGCCTGAGCTGGATAAACAATAGTGGCACTTGTCCGAGAGGTCAGCTGGTGAGAGAGGATTTATAACTTCAGTTTATTGTGAAAGTGTTTCTTCTGATTTTATTTTTCTAGAGTTTTGCACTCGGGAGTGATTCGAATGTCCTGAATTACAAATGATTCTCACAGAAACTCGCAAAAGATTATCGCGACATAGCAAAATAAACACTGGTAGAGAATAGTAATCAAGTTATTGTGTTGGTAATCCTTTTGATGATAACTTATTAGGAACCCTATGGAAATAACAACTCGCTGGAACTTTGAAACTAAAACTGTTTACATATCCCCTGTTGACTGCGAACATCATAAGAAGTAATTCAAGGTTGGCACTAGTTTGGTAAAACTGACGGCAGCGTTATGGTTAATTTTTTTTTCATTGATGATCTTTGCCAGTTCATTTTATGTCTTATCTTGACCCGTCAAATCACTTATGTTGCGCCTGATGATTAACAAAGGCCAAGAGAAAATAATGGGCCTCTTGCTAAGGCTTATTGCCGCTTTCATCCTATTTAGGTATCCTACACTAAGTACATTCCAGCTTTGCGGCGCCTCAGAACGATAAGGATAATCTCTGACCAAAGATACATCAAATTTCTTTGTGAAACAATTTTTTGATCTATGTGCTTAAGCGAGAAGCTCAAGATCGTTCCATACATGCATGGGACGTGTTGAACCACCTTTAGGGTCTAAATTTTTCCCATTACCATCAAAAATGCATGAGCGAAGTCTAATGCACAATGTTTTGAGCAAGGTTTTGTAGGGTGTGACATGAAGTAAAGCGTGTACCGCAGTCTTACCTCCAATAGGAAAGAAAACATCCGATATTTTTTTCACTTCAAAGTGATCTTTATAAGTAGAATAAGAAAGATGGGATGTTTTGAGCCCGGTAAAGAAATAATAATAATAATAATAATAATAACTTTATTTATATAGCGTCTATATCACTAATTGCTCTAGGCGCTTAACAATATCACAAAATGTATTAAAAAAAACACTAAAAAATCTAACAACTACATGTATAAGCATGGAAATGAAATAGAAATATATTTACAAATCAAAAAAGGCTTGGCGAATTAAATATGTCTTTAAGTGTTCTTTGAAAGAATTCAAGGAATCGACATTTCTTAAAGATGCGGGTATGCCGTTCCATAATTTAGGTCCTGCAATAGAAAATCTTCGATCACCATAAGACTTAAGCTTAGATCTCGGGACTTGGAGTAACTTATTCGAACAAGAACGCAAAGAGTAGGAGTTGATACAAAACTGAGCAAATTGGATATATAACTTGGTGAAAGTCCATTGATAGCCTTATATACTAACAATAAGATTTTATAAGTAATACGATATTCAACAGGCAACCAATGTAAATCTATTAAAATGGGAGTTATATGTTCATATTTCTTTGTGAATGTTACAATGCGCGCTGCCCCATTCTGAACTAGCTGTAGGCGGTTTAAGAGAGCTTTAGGTAATCCATGTAGAATCGCATTACAATAGTCCAAGTTAGTGGTTACAAAAGCATGAATAATTGCTCCAGCAGATTCACGATCCAAATATGTTCTGATCTTACTAAAAGAAAGAGAGAAAGATGTTTTTTGTCTTGTCACGAGCGTGGGACGAAGAAAAAATTCTGAATCCCCATGAGGAAACAACCTCAGACCTTCAGATTTCGCGCTCGGATGCTGTGCCACTGAGCCTCGGAGACTCTGTGGTGAGCGAGGCCCACTATATGACACGTGTCCCACATACTGCTAGAATCAGCTATGTCGATAGCGTCATGTTTGTAAATAGAACAAGAGAGATGGGAAGTTTTGGGCCCCGTAAAGAAATAGAGAAAGATGTGTTTCGTCTTGTCACGAGCGTGAGACAAAGAAAAAATTTTGAGTTTTCTGATCTTTGTTGACCTTGTGTGACCATGTTGCTGCAAAAGCACATCATTTTCTCAAACACGTCACTTTACTGATATACAAAGCGATATGACATTCCGGTAAACAGTCTAAACAGCATCGCTGGCGTCGAAATCCAAGTTCCCAGATGCAATCTTAACATTATTTCTCGGTTATGGATTTCTAATAACGTTGAACCGATTATGAATATGCCAACACCAAAGAAAGTGACAGAGGGCAAAAAAAACAAGTTGTTCAGTTGAACTGAAGGCAACCTGCCAATGAATAAAGGGGGTAAGTTTCTAAAGAAACTGTGGTGCCGCGGTGGGAGAGTATAACAGGTAATTTAGTGTTATTAACTGAGTTGAAAACGTAAATAGGCCACCGTAAAGAGTTTAAAGGCTGACGTTTTGGGCGTTGGCCTTCTTCAGTGCGATTAGAGGAATTTTGGGTTGAGTGTGGGTTTTATATGCAGAAAATGGAGCAACACTATTGCTGGGAATATGAGAAAACAAGAATAAATCAGTTGAATGAAAAGCTGCCATTTGCTGTTTTTTTTATCTCCCCTAAACATTCTAAACAGCAAATGGCAGTTTGCAGCCTTTCCTTTCCTAATAACCTTCCAATGAATCGCTTTAAAAGGAGCGGCACAGAGCGAAGGAGAGTTCGCGCATTTAAAGCTACATGCATCTCATTTAAATTTTTTTGCTGGGGCTGGGTCGTTTGCACAAAATTATTGAATTAAAACTGATCGTTAAAGACCCCTCGCTAAACTTGAGGCAATCTTTTGCGACTTTATTGACACTCATACTGAAAATCGTTTTCTTCGATCAGGGATAAAAAGTTATTTTAAATACAAACTATATGCCATTACAATATACTTGTTACAATAATTAATTCTCAGTTCGTATTTAGTAAGTTGTATTACTGCTCGTCCGTTTGGTCGAATACTTCTGCCAGCAATACACGCAAACTACAAGGAGTACAGAATTTCGCTGCTCGCATAGTTTCCGGGACAAGGAAGTTTGATCACGTATTTCCAGCCCTGAAAAACCTGAGATGGATACCAGTTAAGTCCCACCTGTATCTAAAAGACGCCATCTTGGCCTTTAAATCTATGACAGGTCAAGTACCACACTACCTCAGTTCAAATTTTATCTCCAGAGGGAATATCAGCGGTCGAACGACCAGATCATCTTCCCAGCTTAATATACCGCTTTTTAAATCCAAGTCGGGACAGAGATCTTTTTATTACAGAACTGTGACACTGTGGAATGCCTTAAAACCCCATTTTAAATTGAGTGAATCCCCAGAGCCTTCCTTTTAAATCAATTTTTAATGTCATAAATTTTTCTTGATAGTTTATTGATAATTTTTGAGTATTTTTAAATTATCTTAAATCAATTTATAATGTCATAAATTTTATATGCAAATAGTTTTTAATATTTTTTTTTTTACGATTCTTGAGCATTTTTTGGTTATCTGCATTATTAATATTTTTCTCTGAAAAGCCCCCATGGGGAGTTGACAATAAAATTTGTATTGTATTGTAACTGATCATGAAAAGACTTTTCGCTCAAACTTCAGGAAATCTTTTGTAACTTTAATCTCACTCGTATTAAAAATCGTTTTTGTCGATCAGTGATAAAAAACTTACTCTAAATACTAGCTAAGAGTCATATGTCCTGTAAAGTTTTCATCTCCATCCAAATAAAAAAAAAGCATGTTACACAGTAAGGAGAGTTATCACTTGCTTATTTATGTAGTGTTTCAATCAAAGCTTTACTGGAGACAAAAGTTCCAAATATCGTCACCAATGCACCAAAAACGATCAAGACATAATCCAGAACGACTTCCCGCCGTTTTAAATCCTCTCTCCTAAGAATCAGATGAGCCACGCAAGGAAGAATGCAATTGAATAAAGGAAGAGATAAATTGCCGAAAAACGATGATAACAAACCAAAATGGGGAATAAAGGCAGCCGCTGTGAGGGTTATGGAAACAAGTAGAACTCGAATTCCCACCGTATAAACTATTCGGGGTATCTGTACCTTCCTTTGCAGTCGACCATAAGTGTCAGAGTCCTCAATGTATTGAAAAACAGACTGGAGAGGCAAGGCGTAAGAAAATAAACAACTTAACACAAACACCACACTGACTATCACGTGGGGTAGATTGTGAGGTAAATTGTTCGTTATAATTTCATCTGTGGCAAAAGAGAACGACAGAAAACCAAAAATGGAGAAGCTCAATTTAAAGAACACTGCAGCTACGTAGGCAAGTCCCAAAGCTCGTCCAAACTTCGATTTATCGGCCATACCTTTCTCCACGGAAGGTACAATGGGGGCTGAACCGTAGCTGAACATAATTATCCCCAGTGAGATGAGGAACCCTTGCGTGTCCCAGAACAAGAGCTCTTTGGGGTTCCACTGGGAACGATGCGTAACCCCATACCAAAAAATGACCGCTGCAGTTCCAAGTAAAGCTGCGATTCCAATGACGCTGAGCCAAGCAATCTGCGAGAGAGACTTAAGAAATGTCGACGGAAGAACCACAACGGCTGCAATGCACGTCCAGTTGACAACGGTCAAGGGCAATGAAGGGAAAGCCGATGCCATCAGAGAGCCGCAAACGATTAGGTAGGATGTTGCGATGACGGTTAAATCAAAACATTGAATAGCAACTATCATAGTCCCACCAAATCTCGGCCACATTTCTTTTCCGATTTCATTCCAAGAAGAGCGCACGCGCATGCGTCTATGGAGATTGTCTTTCTTGTAAAGACATTCGATCAGTATTTTCGCAGTGAACCAATAGATAAAGGGCATGATAATAAACGCAGCGATCCCTGCAATGCCACCTTTGGCGATAGCGAATGGAAGTGCTAAAAAGCCAACTCCTTCGATAAAGTTGATAATGTTTAGGGTTGCCTTCCACACAGAAGCGCCGCGTTCTTTTGGCGATACGGCGATTAGCGGCGTCTCTTCTGTCATACAAGTTGCAACAAATACTGCAAAGGTCAAGTCATCATAGCCTTCTACGGGGTTCGCTTTTTCCTCGTCTGAGGACTGATAAGAGGAATTCAAGGGCGCAACAGCGAAATTCTCCATTGATGCTGAAAGAAGGAAGATATATTTAATTAATTATTTAGCTTATTAGAAGTCTGAGCATGCGTGGTTCTGTAACCCTGTGATAGCTTTGTAACAGTGCGGTTTAGGGGAAACTAGCTGCAGAGCGTATCACGCTTAGTGGAAGGCACCATAGCTTGCAAGTAGACCTTCACTAAAATCACCGCGACACGAACGTTTCTCCGCCCGCGAGTAACTTTTAGTCTTCTTTACTTAACGCCCTCAGCTTCATTTCTGCTAAAAATGGGTTCTGCCTGCTCTCGGACTAAGTCTGCCTCCTATTCTGATCAACTGATCGACTGATCGACTCTGTTTCTCTAATTTTGATCGACTGTTAAACTCTGATTCTCTAAATGTGATCGACTGACTACGGCTGTGAATCACAATTGAACTGACTATGGAAGATTAAACATTTGTTGTCAAAGCAATAGCCCGAACACTTTCATCAGAATCTCGAAAAGGAACAACAAAGTACCTTATGCCTCCGATCAAACAATCAGTCTTCGACTTCGAAAGCCAAAACAAAGAAGTTTACTGTGGGTCTAAGGCGGAGTCAAAAGACAAACTATCAAGACAATCAAAATCAGGAATCTCATCGTGATGGCTAAAACCCAAACAACTCTGGACTTAGAATTCAAATCTTAACTAAATGCTGGTTAGTTAAACAGAGCTTGGTTTATGCTGGATATAAACAAATCACCAAATCATAATTTACTATAGCCAAACACTTCATAACAGCTTGTGGATTATATTACCGCGGAAACGAACGGTCTAATAATTATGTTAGTTCTCAATAATTTATTTTTTCGAAGTTGAGAAGTTCGTGGCTTTAGAGGGAGTTTGAATGAATAATAGTGATGCCCCGTTCTATGGAAAGTGTCCATGGATTTTCTTGCCATCTGTAAGGTTTTCAAGCAGTTTTCACCCAGGCTTAAGCTTCCTGTGAACAACAATTAACAAGCCCGAAAATTTCACTTGTTATACACGACAGTAAATAGGATGTCAACAACCAATCTTGAACAAAACAATGAACAGAATCAGACTCAGACAGAGCATTCAAACAGTACGTTACGCCCCACTAAAAACAATAACCCGAGCATCTGAAATCAAACCAAGTCATGCGAACATGAGAGCTAGAAAAGAAGTGCAACCTAGAACATGCGATCGCACTCAAGAAAACACCTTTTGCAGTAGAACCGAGATTTGCAGCACTTTTTGATAAATTGCCCGAATACGATCACCAGCGGGCAGTCGAAAGTCTTCATCCACATCGGAAATGGTGACATGGCGCGGAATCGGATTCATATGTTTGCGCAAAGATTTCTAGGATTTCCTCAGGGCAAACATTGCAAGTTGTTGAAAAGAAATTTATGGAGAAAGGTTGTTTCGACGTCCAAAAAACGATCTTGGAGAGAGATCAACGCTTTTTCGCCGCAGTTTTATCATAAATGGATTTAGATGATATTGATGCGCGGGAGAGTAAGTTTTTGTTAACATTACCACGAAATATGTTATAAAATATACCGATTCACTTCTCTCCTTGCGTTAGGTCTGTAATATAATTGTGAAATCATTATCCTGTGATGGTCTCGACGTATTACAAAATTAGCCTGAAATAGCACGGATATAACTTTTCAGTTGTATTTTTGTATGTACAGCCTGTTCTCATAATTGTTAACGTTTTAAATAAAAATTACGATGTCTGAAAATGTACCTCCTCAAAGGAGAGAGGTCGTCGCTGTTGCTCTTTGGAAAGATGAAATAAGCGATGAAAAACAAAAGGAAATCCCGAGGCCAAGTGATAATTTGACGAGAAAAATCAAAAGGTTTTTGAGCTACCACTTATTTTCTCGAACTCCAAGAGGGATCTTGTCAGGAAAAGCAAGATTACGGGAACTCCGGCAGAAATATGGACGTATATATATTTAGTTGAGTATCGCTCTTTAAGCGACCCATTCGTACCTACTCATCGTCGCATCAGAAAGGGTTCAATATTGAGCCGATTATCAACGCTGGTTCGTCCTTATTCATTGAACATAACAAAGAGGCAATGTATGTGTTTAATCACTTAAATATGTCATGATAATATTTAGTGCTTAAGCACGGCATATGATAAAAAAGGAATGGACCATTGGACCCTTGGACTATTTTTAAAACTATTTTTGGACTATTTTTTGGACCATTTTTTGGAACATTTTATTGGGGAAGGGAGGTAGACCATTAGGACTTAGAGAGGGGTGGGATGCAGTCTGTCACTACTCAGGAAGGAGTGGGAGGCAAGCTATTAGTACGCAGGGAGGGGTGGGAGGTGGTTGTATTAGTAATTGCTACTGATTAATGGAGTTTTTAGTGGATCATACAATTTATTTTGAGCGGTTTTTGGACTGACTATTTTTTTTGCGCTGGGTCGTAACGTCTCTTTATTTTTTTTTTCATACGAATGCGAAACTGGCACTTAAACACTCGACTAAAATTGCTATTGGAAATTTTGCTGATTCTCGTTTTCGATCCTCCACTGTTGGGTCACGCGTGTGCCTTTTAAGTCGACTTGTGTCAGCGCTTAATGATACTCACTGGCTAGCATGAATCATCCACCAGTTGCTTCGCGTTTCCCTTTGTGAATAAAGTATACTATTACTAAATTTATCTCCCTTCCTTTTGTCATTGATCTTATCACACGAAAGAGATGACGGAATTTCCGGTCTTTAGTATTCGTTTATCGTTTACACCATTACTATAAAAACATTGTTGGTAGTGTCGTACAAAGCAATCTTCTCTCTTTTCAGATACACAGCTATGACTTAACAGAAGTAAATAAGACTGAAAAGACTTTATTAATAAGTTTTTCATGGCGATTTAAAACTGATATTTCTAAAGCTCGAGATCAATACGCGATGTTCATTACGCAATGTCCATTACGCGATGTCCATTACACGATGTCTATTACGCGATGTCAATTACACGATGTCAATTACACTAAACTCTAGCGCATGGAGAGAAGTAATCGCCAGATTTCACTGTATATTTCACGGTTGATTAAACAAGTCACTAGATTACACTCACGATATTTATTTTCAAAAAATTGTCGAACATGAGGCTCAACTTAAATACAGTAATCAATAAAACCATGCTACAGACATAAAGCCTCTGGACACGAAAATTACCGACTTCTTAGTTGCGTAACATTACGCAAACGTACGATCGCATGCACGGAACTCTCTTCATAGCGAACTTAACAGCCAAATCTTTTCACAATTTTGGGTATAAGACAGTATATATATATTCAAGGAAGTGTTTTTAATGTTCTATCGTTTTCGTAAGAAGAGCAATATCAATTTCTGACATTTCTGATGTTTACATTTTGGAACCAGTAGCACATTTAGTTCCTTCCGTAATAGAAACTATTATAATAATAGAAGCTAGAAGGACTGTTGTCAAGGAGATGCGATTCATATCCAAATTGAATGGGACTTACCTTGCAGTTAATTTTCACAGCTGGCTGGATTTATAGGGTTGTGATTGTATCACAACATCTTTTCTTCGCCGTTCAATGACAACTGATACTCTGAGTAACAAGGGTGTCAATGACGTAAGAAACCTTTGTAAGTTTCTTAATATGGCCGTGTTAATAAGTACATGTACAATTTTCTTTTTTGTCTCCTCAAAGCACATCTCAAGTTACCGGTGGTCAATGAGGGCAGGAACTTTTTTCTGCCTTCACCTCGGTATAAAAATATTTTTCGTACGATAAATTTCCTAATAATTCATCGCAATTTTTTTGGTTTCTCTGCCCCTCTTTGCTGCAATTTTATCCCGTAAACTGTTCGTGATTTTTTGTATCACCGACATTTCCACAAGCTCCACACTGTCGCTTTACATTAATAATGTTTTGGTGATGATTTGCTTGACTTCAATCGAATTCGTGATAGACTGAAAAATTTCGCTCAAACGTTGAACCCACAATTGTTTATATTTTTTCATCCATCACTGAAATTGAGAAATAAAAGGGGGAAGCAACAAAGATTGATTGATTGTTATTTTTTGGTTGCCTGTGATGGCCCTATCAAGACAAAAAAATGATGAATGCAAAATTGTGAAAAGGTGTAATGCACAAATTATCATACATATCGGGGGGGGGGGAAGGGAGGGGGTAAAGAGGGGAACATTGCTGCAAACACCTTTCTTCATCTACAGTAGAGTTCTTTTCCCTAAAGTTTACACCTAAAGATTTTCACCATTTCCTCTTATATTATTGTATAGGCATGACAAAAGTAAACCACAGTCAAATGTGATTTTCACATTTTCTTTCATTTGCAGCAACAGAAGAAAAAAAGTAACACAGATTGCACACATGTAGAAATATCAGAAATTTATTTTTAGCATCACTTCATCATCACTGAGTGATTAGGTGCCAGCACTTTCCACTCTTTCTGTGTTTTTCATTTCCTCATCTTCATTGACTGGTAACAGAGGTTTGGTTGATGTGAGTGTGTATGATCCCATTCCTGCAGCTCTCTCTGCTTCTTCTGTTGTGTAAGGCACTTCTCTTAACATTTTCACTCTAAAAATATGTAAGTAAAAAAAAATACAGTAAGTAAATAAGTATTTGTGTTACAATGTAGCTACACCTCATAAAAAGTGAGCCAGCACAGTACATGAAAATGTCAACAGGCTCTGCATAAAAAAAAAGAAAAAAAAACAAAAGGGACCTGCTTGGACACTCCCAAATGAACCTGAGAAGAAGCCCTCTAAGGAGTAAAATAATAAATAAATAACATAAATTATTTCCTTTCGTATGCTGGCTGACCTTTTTCAAATATCACAAAACTTTTTCCAATGCTAGCATTAAAACCCTCATTGCAAAATGCATGTCTGACTGCGCATAAACCATATCTGTATTGTAAGAATATTAATTTCATAAGACCAAAAAAAATTTGATAGACATGCACTTGACTGATTCAATTAATAGTTGTCATCCCTTTAAAACTTAAGACCCTTAAAAATGAGAAATCAGTCCTACTATTGACTTCTACTTCCACACAGCCACCAATCATGTGGAAAATATATGTAAGGTTGAAGATAGGTAACCTACTTTTTCCTATGAACTCTAGATCTCATGTGATCTTTCAGGGCTTTTTCTTCAACAAAGTATCTTCTAAAGACCAAAAAAAAAGAAGAACTGTTAGTTCCTTGCAATTTCAAAATAATCAGAGAAGTCTGACAAAGCTAAGTAAATGCATTAGTGAGAAGTTCTTCAGTAATTTCTGATATAACAAAACTCAGGTTTTTGTTGATAAAATGGGCTGTAGCAGAGTGTCATTGCACAATCAAGTTGTCTTTAGAAGAGGGATTCTTCTATGCACATTTTAAATTTTCTTTTTCAGTTTAAAGTAGGTTTTGTTTAACTCTTTGGTGCTCACTGATTATGACTTCTTCAAATGTTTGCCCTCTATTTCTCACATACAAGCATACATTTTAATAAGTCTCAGATTTATAGACTGAGGTTAGACTGTTAATGCTAATATCTTTCAGCTAACTATTGGGATACCTAACCATATTGCTATAAATAATCAAAACTTTAAGGTAAAAAACTAACTACCTACATTGTAACTACCAGTAATTACTAATTTACCGACTCAAATAATAAAGCAATATAAGTATAGTAAAATATAAAATATTATAAATTTTACCCAATTAAACTTTAATTAGGTATCAGCTGATAACAAGAATTAAGGAAAAATCAGAATTAGTGCAGCCTAAGTTGCAAAGGGAGTTGCAGGATTTACTATCAAACAACTGAGGGAGCTGAAGCTTTAAGGATTTTAAAAGACTCAGACTTAAAACAGAAAATCTTCTTAAAAAAGAAATAGGTTCTTCAAACAAAAAAAAACTTTTAAACCAGCAGTACTCTAAGATAAATTATAATAAAGTTCGGATATAATGTGCGCTGTCATTGGTTGAAAGAGCATGCTCTATGAGAGTATAGAGCATAGAACTGAGCTACAGCTGTCATGCCATCTACCAATTGTACTATGTTCGAGCTTTTCCAGGACTTCTTTTTAGCTTTTTTCGGATAATTGAAAGTGAAATTTCGGAACTGAAGCGAGCCGGCAAGTAGCAACAGAAGAATCAAACAAAGGTTTGTAAACATACCAGGCACCATCCTCAAAGGAAAAACAAAATAAACATTCCGAGTTTTAAAGATTTTCACGCTCAGTTAGATTGCAAGCTTACGTACGGTAATAAAAATCAAACACAGCTAACACTTGTATAGTATATAAAGTTCAGTGTTCAAAAACAAAACAGAACAAAACAGAAATGATGAAAAATATAACCAAACTGGCATAATTGTTAAAATTCATACTAATCATGACGGTGTCTGAGCGAATATGATCATGCTAAGTTCATCACGGCTCGCTCATCATGGCGATCTCCGGTCATCACAGTAAAGCAAGCCTCAGAAACTACATCGGCCGCCTTTCGAGTGAAAAAATAAGAGCTTGCTCTGATATCCTTTCCAATACGTTGAGTGGCAATTCACATTAGTCACTGCAGCTGAGTTTGGCGGCACTGTCATCACATGCGATCTTCATGTTCCTGTGAATTTGACTGTCGTTCATTCAAAAAACACTCGCCTTAAACAGTTTGTTTTCTACCTTGTCATGTGAAAAAACTCGCGTGTTTTTATGAGCCATAATTCGGCTGAAGTTCACTGAACATTTAACTTCAAGATTCTGTATTAGAGACTTAAAAACTTCAGGCAAAAGTGTTAAATTCGACTTGCCGAACTATTTTAGTTTGTAAACTATTGTAGAATGTGAACTTTGATGGTTTTTGAACTTTGATGGTTTGACACTTTTGACAGCTTTAGTCTTGTAAAGCCAATCAGATTATTTGAACCATTCTAACAGGGATTCTGATTGGCTTATTGTAGTGTGCTTTATGAGAGTATAGAGCATGCTGATGACATTGTTGTTCACTTTGGAAATAAAGTTTGTTTTGAAAATTGAAAGTAATGCTTGGGGAATTTAACGGATTCTTTATTATAAAACAAATAGAGAAGCCTTGACTGTGCTCTGTTCTGTTATAAAGCACTTAGGAAGCGGCTAGAGCACTCAAGAAGTGGGAAGAAACACTCGATTACGTCTCGTGTTTCTCCCTACACTTCTTTCGTGCTCTAGCCGCTTCCTGCGTGCTTTATAACAGAACAGAGCACAGTCAAGGCTTCTCTATTTGTTAATTAGGCACCACGGGAAAATAACTTTGGTCTTATGGCAACTTGAACATCTTTCCTTTTCATAAAAGTGTCCAGGAACTGGGCACCCCAAATTTCTCTGATGAGAGAGTACATCTTTATAGAATTTAGTAGCGAAGCAAAATGCTTTTTTTTGTTTGTTCCTTTTACTATCTGGGCTACCAGCACAATAAAGGCAATTTAAAAAAAAAAAAAAAATGGACAAACATTCCACTAGGCAAAGTTTTCCCACATCTCTCTCAATTTCCAAAATGTTTGAATTACTTCTTTGAATAAAAAATTAGAAAACTGCTATGAGCAAAAAATGAAATAGTATCCACTGAAACATTACCAACCACAGTTTCAGAGATAAGAACTTCTGTTAAAACACTTCCCCCTCCAAACCAACCTCTCCTAGCAACACCATTTTTGTGAGACTTTTGTTTCATACAACAAGGCATTCCACACTGTAGAACATTCCACCATTATGTAATTCAAACATTTAATCAATTAGGATTTCCCTTTTAAATTCAAGTATTTCTAATAATGCTCTTTTCGGCAGTATTTTCTGATTGAAATGGCAAAATCTTCTCTCTTTAAATAAATAAAATTTTTCTCGAAAGTTTCTATGATGTGCAGATTAAACATATTTAGATATTTCCGAAAGGAAAAGTCTTGATTTCAACAAAGGCCATTGTGAAATTTTTTTGAGATGTTTATCATCTTTTGTAATGTTACGGCAAGAACTGAGAAAATTTTATTCAAACAATGACATGATCTCTCTTCAAAGAAAAATTAAGATGGTTACCAATGAGAACTACAAAGGTACTATGAAATGAATAATAAGTCTCATTGTGTCAAAGTCAGGTGAAGCTCAGCTTCTATTAAACAAATAGAGAAGCCTTATCTGTGCTCTGTTCTGCGGCTAAAGTGTGAAAGAAGTGTAGGGAAAAACATGAGTAGTAGTCGAGTACTTCTCCCCCCTTCTGGAGTGGTGAACAGTGTTCTACAATAAGTCAATCTACAATATGCCAAGTGTACTCCAATAAGCCAATCAGTATCCTTACTGGAATGGTTCAAATAATCTAATTGGCTGTACTAAATCTAAAGCTGTCAAAAATGTCAAACCATCAAAGTTCACATTCTGCAATAGTTTACAAACTTAATAGTTCAGCAGGTTGAATTTAACTCTTTCACCTGAAGCCTTTTAGTCTCTAATACAGAATCTGAAAGTGAAATGTTCAATTAAATCAATAGTTTACTAACGTAATAGTTCAGCAGGTAGAATTTAACTCTTTTGCCTGAAGCCTTTTAGTCTCTGCTACAGAATCTGGAAGTGAAATGTTCAGTGACATCTGGCCAAATTGTGGCTCATAAAAACATGCAAGTTTTTTTCACATGAAAATTAGAAAACAAAGTATTTAAGCATCTGCTTTTTGAATGAACAACAGCCAAATTTACAAGAATATGAAGACTGCTCGGGATGACAGCACTGTCAAACTTGGCTGCAGTGTCTGATGCAGCCTTCCACTCAATGCCTCGGAAAGGATATCAGAGCAAGCTCTTAGTTGTTCTCTCAATGCTATAACCAGAGATCGCCATGATGAGCTAGCCACATTGGACCTCAGCATGACATTGTCATGATTAGTATGAGTTTTAACAGTTACGCCAGTTTGGTTGTATTTTTCATCATTCCTTTTTTGTTTCGGTTTTGAACATGAAACTATATACACCACACAAATGTCAGCTGTGTTTGATTTTTATTACCCTAAGTAAGCTTGCAATCTAACTGAGTGTGAAAACCTTCAAAACTTGGACTGTCCATTTCATTTACTCTTTGAGGATTTTCGTCTCTGCTCATGTTATAACAACGTCAATTATGGTGTTTGGCATGTTTATAAACCTTTGTTTGGTTCTTCTGTTGCTATTTGCCGACTTGCCTGTTTCAACATTTCACTTTAAATTAAAGAAACAAAACTAGGGAAAAGTCCTGGAGAAAGTCGGACATAGTACAAGTACAATTTGGCAGATGGCGTGACAGCTTGAGCTCGATCAGCTCTATGCTCGATACTCTCATATAGCACGCTCTTTCAAACAGCGCGCACTAAATCTGAACTTTAATATAATGTTACTTAACATCACTCATAACATCTATGGCTTCACCTCCTATAAGGAGGCAGTAGCCACAAAAATAATAGGTCTCCCTATATTGCAATTATAATTAAGGCAACATCCATTATAAAGATACTTACGCGCATTGTATACAGTAATATTGTCCAGCACCTGGTAAATCCATGTCACACTCTTGTGATTTTAATTTAGCAGCGTTCTTTGGTTGCATGTCCTCGTGAATTTGGTCCAAGTCCTTTGTTCGCCTTCTGGTTCGATACTTTTTCTTTAGATGTTTGTCGTTCTTGTGCATTCGTTTTCTCCGCAAGCGGCCCATATTTAAAAATCTTTCGTGACGTGAGATTCCGATAAAATCAACGATGGAACTGCAAAACAACTAAGAAGAATATCGTTGGGCAAATTACGGACGTGTTTAAGATGGCCGACGAGCGTGGAATATTCCAGGCGTTCCTTAAAAGATGGGTCAGCATTAGATTCCATCCACCAAAACCACCTCGGTCGAGAGGGACTGAGACGGAATATTTAATGACTTGCAAAACATAACCGAAGATTCTCGGAAATCCGCAAGTGATGTAGCCGAACATCCGAAGCTGTAAATCCCATGATTCTTGAGGAACAAACAGAAACAGCATAGCGAGAATTTTAAGTCGCGAACCATTGCTTAATGGTAGACATGCAGATAATTTAGGATACGTATATTCTGTTGATGAGGCGCATAAACTTATTGCGGAATTTGAAACAGGATTGACGACGAAGTTTTCTTTCTTTAAAGCTGTCAAAGGTTTCGGGAACACCGGTGTATATATATATACATATATATTGATATAGCTCTTTGGCATTACAAAGCTTTGCTATCGCTATTGTGCATTCTCACTAGTTTATCTAGTTCAAGTCCTCTGGCATGGCTTGGATGATACCACAATTGTGGAATCATTCGGGTTAACTTAATGCTTACATCTCCTTCCTCGGACAGAAGTCACAAAATACTGGGGGAAGATGCATGAGATATTTAAGGAGCATAAATTCGTTTTTCACTGGTGTGCCTTTCCTAATTTTGGGAAGGAAAGTGTTCAATAGGCCATTTTACAGTTGTGTACTTAGTTGCCAAGCCTTTGATTTGGAGTGAGGCTGAAGGTGACCTTGTTGTGTTAGGGACCAGAATCTAGTTAGCATGATAACAAATTAATTTGCATTTCAAAAGCAGCAAGGTTTGTATCATAACAAGGTCACCCTTAGCCTCACTCCTGTTCAAAGGCTTGGCAACCAAGCATACAACTGTAAAATGGACTATTGCCAACACGGCATAGATAAAACAACTGGAGAGAAAAGGAAACGAAAAGATGCAGAAGAAGTACTGTGTATAATAATTTCTTTTTATCCTCAACCTTTGTGTTACTGTCAACTATGGCTTGCTAATTTGAAAGGTCAAATACATGAATGGGTCATATGACATCGATCTCAGAATACTTTTAGGACAAACGTGATAACACTTCAATCTTGGCTAAATTGAAGATGGTTTAGAAGTTAACAATTATAAGAACTTTTCACTAACATATGCTGCTGACAAAGGAGAAAATATATGCAATTCTGCATTTTTTGCTTTCTATCAAGCAATCATATGTTGGCTCCTTATCATGCTATGACACTTCCGTTTTGTCACATTCCAAAAAATAACTTGAGAAATACACTGTCACTCATCTTACACTGTTATATTTACCTATTACAGAAGGCCGAAAACAAAGATTTTGTTTTCAAGAAAATAAGATTTCTTTTCCAAGACACAAGGAAGTTTGACTGCAAAGCACAGATAAAAATGCAATAAATTTTATTTTTTTCAGAGAACAAGGTAGTTATACTCATGTATAAACAGAACAAATCCAGTTTAATAAATCAGATATAAGGCATGACTCCTTTTCTTCCATCCCCACTCAAAACAAGCAAACACACCTATATAGGTTCCAGTCTGGTCTGCAAATGAAAAGGAGGAAGGTGATCACTACTAAATTAAGCATTAGGGTTCTTATTTATAACATATTGATTATTGTATACTGGTATCAAGAAATTAAGGTTGCAAGTAGCAGCCAGCTGAGTTATAGTTTGAGTTTTATCAAGTCCATTACTTTGTTAAATTTAGAGTAACCTTGTCTTGAGAGAAGGAAATTGAGGAGCTGTAATATACTTATCATCAATTAGGGACCACAAAGAAAAATTTATTTATAGAGACTTTTGAAGGAGAGGGGTAAGACTTGTGACAAGCTGGCAGACATATAGATAAACTTTACTGCTAAATGGGTTACAATACAAAGTGCTCAGTATTTGGATCAGCTATGGCTCAACTTAAACTTTGCTTTAGCTTCAAGTTTAATCCTTTGTGGTTTCCTTTCTCTGTGTTTATTTTTCAAGTTATATACACAGAAGAACACAAAAATGACAAGGAATGCTTTTGAATATTAAGAGGCTGGAATAAGCAAGAAACCAAAACTGAATTTTAAACAGTACAAAGTTAATTTGATCTTCCAATGTTATTTAATTTTAACCATTAATAGAATTTGCTATTTAGATTTATCCCCTCCATTTTTCTGGATATTGTGAGCAAAAACAAACAATTATCACAAAATGCATGATATACAATGGTTTGATTCACCAATGTGGCAAAGGCCTTTCACTGTCTATCTATAAAAAGGGAAATAGTTTGTAAAATGTAAGACATTCTGCATCTTCAGTGTATACTTATTCATCCATGCAAAATTAAAGGTTACTTTAAATAAATGTGAAAGATTGATAGGATTATCAGACCCCTGATAACAATTACTGATGTGCTGATTTGTTGTACTTAAAGGTTATGATTTTAGCGGAAATAGTGGAAGAAATTTCTGGACCTGGAATTTTGTTGCAAATGTCTGTTTAAGTCAGTTTAAGTCAGTTATAAACTCTCCTGTTTCAAGATTACATGATTGCCACACCAGAACCTTTTGTATTCTATATTGTGCACCATGTTATGATTATGGTTTCAATAATAAAAGGTGCTGACTCAAGAACTTTGCAAAATATCTCTACATACAAAGAAATAGATTGTGGTTATGTACTCCAAATAGCAGGTCACACCAGTCTTCTGTAAGGAAGTAGCAGAAATTGCTATGGTGGTTTTGGTGGATGGAAAGAAACATCCACCAAAACCACTTTATTCTATGTGTTAAGAGTTATGATAATCATTATGAACGTTTGGTCGGTCAGCAATAATTATTGTGCACCATAAAAAATAATTAGCCAGAGCACTAACTGCTAATTAGTGGTATAAATCTTTTGTCTCCCTGAACATCTAACAGTGGCTATAGATAAAATTAAAAAAATATATTGTTGATGGTTTTGGTCAAAGTTTTGGTGGATGTTCCCTAATGACATCCACCAAAACTACGTAACATCTGGGCACCTTTTAAATACGTAAAATATCTGCATAAAATTGCGTAAAATGTTTTATGATACTACAATCGAACAATAAATTAATACTTACCATTTCTTGAGTAAAAAGTTTTGACGCAATTTCCCAAACAAATAATACACTTAGGTCATCGGGATAAGTCGGCATGTTGTCGTAGCTTCGTAATTTTAATTTAGTATAACAAGTCATCAAGTCATGAGTTGTCCATCATTCCATCTCAGTCCCTCTCGACCAAGGTGGTTTTGGTGGATGGAATCTAATGCTGACCTAAAAGATGAGGTAAACTGGGAAAGTGAGAAAATATCTGTCTAAGGTCACGCTGGGAATGGGCTAACATATGAAATGGAAAAATAAAACATACAACCGATTCTCTATTTGAAGAAATCGAAATAAAATTGATGTAAGAATATTTAGATTCACAATTAACTCAAACCTTTTTCAATACTGTCAAACACCAACAAGCTATTAAATCCAAAGTTATAAATGCACAGCTCTCCCCTCCTCCTCCTTCCCCCCCCCCCCCCACCCTTCACAAAACTTTTATTTGACAACTTTAGCCACTTTCTTATGATGATTTCGTGTGGCGGAAAGCTGTTTATCTAATCTCAAATGTGGTAAATGACGTTTTCACGACTGAAATGGGCGCAGAAATTCTCATAAATACTTTGATAGGGATTTAATTTGTCGTTTCGTTCATGGAATAAAGGTATCGTGACAGTTATGAACGAGTCGCTTCCTGTATTCGGAAGCCATTTCGGAGAGCAGCAGGATATTTCGACCTCGTCTAAATCGTCGGAAGCCAGAAACAACTTTCTCTCGGACGTGAACAGCTCAGGTGACGAAAATGTTTCTTTCAGAAAGTCAGGGAGCCTATCACCAGGTGGAACCAGGAGGTACGGTATGACAGATTTTGGTGATTTGGCTGGAGAGGAGACTGATCTACTTGAACAATTTGACCCACTTGTTTCTTCTCAAAGTATAAGCTCGAGTTTGGCGGACGAAGACACGTCAAATATTACAAAGCGATCCAACCAAAGATTAGACTCACGGGACAAAATGGAACTACATCGGGGTTCTGGACTAACGTCCGGCCGTTTTAACGAAACAGAATTAACAAGTTCAACAGTTGATAGTTCAGATGCTGTCTCTCATATACGGCTCAGTTATGATGCAAATAACACGACTTTGGAGAGTATCAGCACTACTAAACACCATGAAAATGCTGCAGTGAAGAGCGGTAAGGTTGCTGTGTGTGCTGTCATGAGTTAATAACATTAATTATAATCCGTTAGCCCTACTAGAGTTAATTTTCATTGGTTGTCAGTTTATTTCAGTTCACGTCTTGCACGTAGTGTTATTTACCAAGAGCGATATTTGAGTTTCCGCCTTCTCAATAATGGTATTTGAAATCGAACGCATATGAGGAATTGATTACTCTGAGGATGCAAAAGATAAAAATGAACATTTTGAGAAAATTGAAATTGCCTGTGTCTGTGAAGGTGTAATTAGTCGTGTGATGGTCCATAACAAAGTCAGCACGTATGTAATATGAATGTTTTTTTTGGATGTCAAGAAAAATGTGATAACTTCAGATATATTTGAACAATTTAGGGATAACCATTGAGGTATCAAGAGTTATTTGTGTCTTTTTTCCCTTCATTTACAAGACAGCTTAGTTGGATATCATTTTCCTTTAGTTGTATACCCAAATTATTCAAGGAGTCCCTCCTCTTTGGCGAGGTCTGTCGCATGAGTCATAAAACATCAGTGAAAAAAATGATGATGCGCAGCAGGAGCTCCATTAGTGAGGGGCTCGAAAAGTAAGGACTACAGACTAAGCCTAAGAGTTTTTCCCTCTATGGCTGAGTAGATTTCAGGTATCAAAATTTAAACTCAATTAGGTATAACTGATGACTGCTCGTAGTCTATAATAGAAGGCTAGACAAACTAGGAAATTGTGAATCAACTGTAGCAGATTCTTTAGTAAACCTGAGTTCAA